ATATCTTTTAGGTATTTATAAATAAACTCTTCTGGCTATTGTACAAATTTGTCAATAATAAACGACTAATTTGACAATATCATTAAAATAATGTGATGTCTGTAGTTACGCGAGTAGAAGACATTTAATTAAAACAGTGTAACGGTTGAAAATACAATATATCAGTTAAACATATTGACAAGTAAATTTTAATTACTTCCAACATTTCGAATCCTATGCAGCAGCCGTAGTCACGGGGGGACTAAAGAGACACCCTCCATCTTTCGTCTCCGTAGGCCGGAGTTAAAAAAAAAAACGATTTAACTAAAATATTTCGAGTTTTAAACTGTTAAAGTATTTTGCTTAAATATCACGGAATCAAAGAAGAATTCTAGAAAATTACTAAATAAAAATAAAAACGTCCTGAAACTTTTGCTTCATAGGAGAAAATAATATGAAACTTACGTTTTAAACTCGAGAAGAGGCAAACAATGTATAAATGACAACAAACAAAGAAGCTTCTGTGTTGTTATTGCCGTACCGCTGCCGTAAACTTTTTACAACTTATCCAATTTTTCCAAGAGGCCGCCGTCTCGGATTGGCTCAGTAATGAGATCTATGAACTGCGAGCGAGATATTTCCCGCCTGATTGCGTTTCTCCATCTTACCCGGCCTTCAAGAGGCGTACCATAGATTGGTTTTGATTTTATGGAGTTATGGATGAGAACTCACTCACAAATATGACTTAATAATATTTCAGTTACACAGACCGACGATGTTTATTAAATATTATAGTAAAGTATGTACGTACAGGATATGACGTTTTCTTAATCCTTTTACAATATGATGATACAATTATTCCTAGAGTCTTAAGGGCACATAGCACAAAATTATATAAAATTAGCATATTGGAAATGTACTTTTAGATGACTTGTACTGATAAATGTTGACCTAACGCCTTCAAATACTTATCTAGTTTATTTTTACCTATTCAAACAAGTTAATTATAAATTACTTTTGTCTATTAATGGGAGTTCGCTAATGATCTTTTATTTTTTTCAGCTCGACCTTTCGACTTCGTTCGCGTGGAATAGTTATTTTGGGCATCCAAATTCGTTGCAACCCCTTCATCAAGGATCTTTCAATTCGAACCAGTAGTTCCTGAAATTAGCGCGTTCAAACAAACAAACTCTTCAGATTCTAATTTTTTTTTAATGTTGAATTGAAAGCACTAAAAATACATTCAAAGACAATATTTTGATATACGTTCAGTAATTTTTTTTTTAAACTTTATAGTTTAAAACCTAGATATAACTGAGCGTTGGGTCTTGAGTTTGGGGTCTTGACGTAACTCAATAATTTCTTATCGTGGCACTTTGAACTTTGTTTTAGTGATTACTAGCAAAGGAGAACATCATATTATATTTCTTCCTTCCTTCATCATTGTAGAATGTTATCTTTTTTAATGATAGAGTAGAACAGGCAAGTATGGCGTATAGACAAACATCTAAACAAGTTGAGCTGTCAACCTATTTTGGCTTTGGATATTGTGAAATCCACGGACTGAAACCAAAACAAGTTAGAAATTTTTAAATTGATTACATAAAATTTTTGACCATGTGGGGATCAAACCCACAACCCGTTAATTATTACTAATATTTTGCTTACCATTACACCATGTAAAATGAAACTTGGCGATAAAAGTGACGGCGAGTTTATTGCCAGTTCTTCTCGTTCGTTCTACGCCCTTGATTTGAGAACTGGTAGTAAATGTAAAGTTAGATTCTTTAATTATTTTGTGACGTTCATAAATGTACATGAATAAATGATTTTTGACTTTGATATGACTTTGACCAGAGACCCCGTCCGTATTGGAGTAAATTTTTTATCCTCAATAAACGATGTTTCGAACTTAAAGTCTTCTTAATCTTTACTAAATTTTATCCAACCCTCTCATTACTTAGATTCTCAAAAATGAGTTTTTTTCATTGTTTCCTAAGAAACGTTAAACGTTTTTATACTTTCAAAATACACAATTTACATATCATTTTGTATAATAGGTATTTGGATTAAACGAAAGCCGAGCACGTCAAGTCGTATTTACTTATATCAAACAGGTTTCCCTAAACGTAATTTGATTTGCAAATTAAGTACCCGTAGCGGGCCGAATCAATCGCATCCCAGAATCTATTGATTGAATAATAACGATCTAAGAACTTTATTTATTTAAAAACGGACGCAATTTAATAAAAACGGCAACAATTATTTCGCACATCATATAATGATATTATCTCAAAGCGGGTAGAGTTAAGCCTAACAGGTTGTGGGTTTGATTCCCGTCGGGCCCAATATGGTTCTTATATATTTTTTCCTCCAAAACAAGAGACTTCGTTTGAAAGATGTCATAGCGGACGGTAGAAATGAAAATCTGAGTTTTGGTTTCAGCGTGCGGATTCCCGAATTGCCAAACCCAATATAGGTCAACAGCACAACTTGTTAACATGTTATGTATATTGTTGGAGTATTTGAGCTTTTATCGATGTCAGTTTTCAGAGTTATTCATTAATACGATACTAGCAGACTTCTATTTTTATGTATATATTAGGTATATATATGTTATGTTTTATAATATAGACAGTCATGTGGCTTGTATAATTCGGACGTCGGTTGTAATTCCCCTGGAAAAAGTAAAAGATGTCTTAGGTCATTAAGTGCGGTTTAATCATTAATATTTTTAACATATTTCTTTGCAAACTAATAAAAATTTAAGAAGATACGATGTAATATATGATTTAGTAGGTAATACTAAAAGAAATAGTAAAAGAATTCATTCTTTGCGCAATCGAGGAGCTAACAACATCACCTGATGATGTCATTCGCTTGTGATGGCAAAACGTCGAAAACCTCTTCTCGCTCATATCGGCCGAACAGCCCGATAAACAATGAGTATAAATTTTATCATCCATATACATAGTAAAATTGAAATAAATAATTAATCTGCATAAATGGCTAATACAATATAGGTTTCTACTGTAAAAAGTTTTTAATAACCTTTAACGAAAAACGATATTTCCCTAGAGCTTTGCCTCTAGAGTAAGGAACAAATTATTTTCCTTACTGGACGTCAAACTTAATGGAAACTTTAAAAGTTTTTACTTTGCTACGAGCCAGTCAATTTTCCCAGCACCTGGGGTTTTTAGTTTATTAATACCAGTATTTTTTTCTCAAAAAAATATGTTCTCATCAGAAAGGATGATTATATGAATTTGACCGCTCCGAAGCTCAATGGTAAATCATAATAACATTGCATTAAGCACGAGAGAACCTGGGTTTGAAGACCAGTCAAAAAATAAATGATCGGGCAGGGCACAGAAAACTGAAAATAATGTTTTTTTTATCGACGCAGACAGAAATGTGGTCGCCCACTGAAAGAAACAGAATTTCACTTTTTTTATTTAAAAGAAAATATTTAAGAACAACATTAGAATAAATTTAATCTTTCCCGTTTCCGATTTTATAAACTAACTTATTTGAATACTGTCTATAGTTTACGCGAGTAGTACACATTTAAATAGAACACTTTAACGGTTTAAAACGCGATATATTAGTTCTACTAATATATCGCGTTTTAAACCGTTAAAGTGTTTTATTTAAATAAACTTATTTGAAAATGGTTTTTAACTTCGGCCCGACGTTTCGGATGCTTTGCAGTACTACTAATATATCGCGTTTTAAACCGTTCAAGTGTTTTCTTTAAATAATTAGGTAAATAGATGTTTTACATAAAATTCGTTTGGAGATCTTTGTCTAAACTTTTAAGCGAGATTTGTTATTCATCGACACAAAAGTTTGCTTGTTTTCTCGATCTCGTTACTAGGCAAATGTCGCAAACTTTTGTCATTTCTTAAACAAAGTGAGTTAAGCGTTTTGGGAACATAAACAACATTATACCTATACTTACATTTATATTATATGTTTATGAATAATATTGAGAGAGTTAATATTATAATAAAACGACAGAAAGCGTGTGACTATACTGTCTATTACTTATTAATAAGTGAAAAAATAATACACAGAGTAGATTTTAATAGTCTTTATCTTTGTATTTTTCCGCTAATCTTCAAAAATAACTGCATATCATTATATATTATCCCCGGCTTAAATAAAGCTGAATTAGAAAAAAGGCCAGCCTCACGTATTTATTTGCATTTTAATCTACACATTTACGATGTTGCCGAAAGTTGTTAATTCATATATGAGACCGCGCGTGCAGGTAGCGTTATGAAAAGCTATCGTTTTAAACTCCACTAAACAAGCGCTATTTCCTATAATCAACGTTGTTTTTGCTCCAGGAGTGTATTACCCTAACCTCTTCATCATTGAAGGAAAAAATTTCGTAAACATCTAAAAGTTCTAAAAACTTAATATTAAATCTATCACATTTCGATTTAGTTTACCTTTGTAGTAAGTACTATATCCAGGTAGATTCGTAACTAATTATAGTATGTATGTATACCTATAGGTATACACGTATTTTAGCTACTATTTCCTTCTATAGTTTTACTAAGAGGGAAGTCGTGTTCATAATATGACCCAACTGTAATTGCCTCTATTAATTACTGCATACAAATAAACCGATCTTTTCAACTGTGTGGTTAATAAATGAGAGCTTTCGTACATTGTTGCAACATGGCAACTTATTTATTATTGTAAATTGTATTTCTACGTGTGTAAAAGTAATAGTAACAAGTTTCTTGTTTTTTATTCCTTGTGTATATAAAAAATGTGACATAAATACGTACGAATAACTAATTAGGGCTCTTAATTGTTTCCCTACTATATGTATAACAAAAATAGAACAATAATAATATATATTTAACACTAATAATCTAAACGCGATCACATAACTATACTATATATTTTTGACGAACTATAAATCTGATATGTAATATATTATGTAGTATTATGATCTATAACTTTTGTTTATTTCTTTGGTCTTCTTATCTAGAATAAGTATCCAATTATATTTTGCTTCTAACACTAGATCGCAATAGATCTAAACCAATTTGAACAGCATCTATGGCCGTTCCCGGAGCGCACATAACTCCATAACCGCCATGGCCGTAACAATGCACAACTTTCAATTTGTCGATCATTTCCGATTCCACCCTTACTGGCACTCTATGCGGTCTTAAACCTACCCTCTGTCCAACAATTTCTACATTTTTCAAAGCCGGCAAAAGGTCAACACATCTCTCCATGATGGCTGCTGCATCGTGTCTGCAAACTTGTGTATTGTAACTGTCATATTGTCGCACTCCACCAAGAGTGGCTATACCATCCTGCCCCGGGATAATGTACGCATCATAGTCACCATAGAATGCGGTTTTTAGCCACGGAGCTTTTACTTTAAAGACCTGACCGCGTATCGGGACCAAATCGTCATCTTTGCACAAATACTTCGCTCCCATTCCGGTACAGTTAAATACTAAGTCGTACTTGGGTAGTGATGTGAAGCTATCGACATTTCTATTAATAATTTTACCACCCTTAGATTCAAATGTTCTTTGGATCCATGGTAAATAGCGATCGCAACCAGTTTTAACAGTAGTGAAATATGAGCCGTACTTCCATCCTTCGCTTACGAGCTTCAGTTCATCCTTGTCGACAGCACGATAGATCGGTACTATATCTTCAATGAGGCGGTTCCTCGTAACATGGTAGTTCTCTTTTGAAAATATGTAGCTGGAGACAGGAATGACCCCAGCTTCATCTGCATCTCGACTTTTGAGTATGTCTTGCCAGAAGTACCAAGATTTATCAATCCAACGTTTTGTTACTTCATAAGATGGACCTCTAAAGCTAAGACCGGGTCGGAAAATACCTGCGGCGACGTTGCTTACCGTATCTTCTTTGAACTTTTCCGATATAACAGTTACATCTGCGTGTCTAAGTTCTTCTTGTAAAATTTTCACAACTGTTAAGCCAATAACGCCTGCGCCCAGGACAGCTATCTTTGGCGAATTTCTATCCATGATTTGTCTGAAAAGGAAGTTTTTTTTTAATTATCTTTTTTATTGCACACATAGGAATACAAGTATGGAGTGAAATATGTATATGTCCTTATGGCCTTATCGCTATTGAGCGCTATTTATTTATAAATTCTTTATTGCACAAATCATAATAATGATACTTACACTTATATACTAGAATGGAGGGCAATGGCTAACAAGCGATCTCTTCCAGACAACTAAAAGTTATGAAATGTTAATAAAATGAGATGTGCAAGGTAGGCGACACAAATTAATACAAACAATAAATAATTTAAATGTGTACTACTCGCGTAAACTATAGACAGTATTTAACAATAAATAACCATAAACAATTATTCCAGGCGACCCCGATAATTAAGCTCATAAAAAGAGCTAATCTTTTCCCTTTCCCCGTACCCCTTAAGGCTTTGTAATATTGAGAAGAAAATAAATCGCTCATTAAACCACTTCTTCAATCTTAAAATTTCTATTTCAAACAGCAAACGCAGTCGAATAAAGACTACTAGGTGTGGTTTGTTTAGATATACTTTTCTTTTTGTTGTACAAGTTAAACTATTTGCTCTGGACGAAATAAACAAACTCATAAAATGAATGAAATCCGCAGAAAGCGAGAGTATTTTACAAAACATTATTGCTAGGTTTTCAAATCTTGTGTTTAAATAACAATCTCCGATTTCTAAAATACGTTATATTTCTAACTGCAAAGAAGTTATTAACTATATTATATATTTTTTATCGAATTTTAACAACGCAGTTTAAATACCAACATACGAACTATCGGATAACAATACAGTAATAACTTAAAGTGCAAATCATTGTAAATCGTAATTAGATAAGTTCTATTTATAGTTAGTCTCCTAAATAATATAAAAAAATATTTATTTTAATTAAAATATTATTACACGGATTCTTTAAAGCAGCTTGAAAAAGTAAAGTGTTTTTCTTAGAAAGTATTATATTTTAAATTTTCGGTATTCTATTTATACAAAATATCAGTGGAGTAAGATTTTTATATCACCCGTGACCACGGCTTAAGTAGTCGATATACATTAAAGATAAGTAAACTAATATCTTTCGCGTTTCAAACCTTTAGAAATGTTTTATTTAAATTCGTAGGTAGAAACAAGAAATATGTTTGAAGGTTGTGTTTAAATCGAAGTTCTGAAATAACTATTACAGAGAAATATCCTTACCAATACGAACTATTATTAAATTAACTATTATATCAGAAAAATATTAAGAACGATGCAATAATAAAACTTGTTTTCTAAAAACGTGTTTTCTAATTCCACAGAGTCCCGACCCCCAAGGAAAAATTACAACCAACTCTCATCGAACGAAAAACTCGACAATAAACAAACCGAAGACATCCACATAGAAGATGCTGAAGTTGATTCAGATGCAAGTAGCACTGACCTAGACGAGCGAGACACCCGAGGAGTATGTCCACCTTGTGCACACGACAGATACAACAATAATGTACGGCACACACACGACGAATTCAGCGATGATACGGATTACGGTATGGAAACACTGACGTTACTATCAGCTTTTTAAGATAACTGCAATGAATGTAATCTTAATGACATTTACCTGTTAAATTCCTACGCATATTTGTCTCTCATCAATTATCTACATTGTCTATTTTGGGCGTAAGATAATGACAAAGTCGCGGGCAGTCTCAAATTATGACATTTGTCTCGACAGTGACATTGACAGTACTATACAACATTGACAACGGACATGTTCTAGCTACTAGCTAGTGATTAGCGACATTGTAAATTCGTGTTCAGTGCATTGTATTAGATAAACAATAAACCGTGTCGAGTTAATTTGATAAAAGTGTGTAAGGCTTACGCGGTCAAGTAGGAAATGGCTACTTTGAAATCAGATTTGGACGATTACTTGCTACAAAACGAGAGTCGTCGTAGTTATAAATTTACCTTACCGTTTTCGACGTCAAACTTTTTTACCCGGAGTAATGATGAAACCCCAACCAGTACTAGTACGACGTCTACTTGGTTTCAAGAGGTTCAGAAGGAGTACTTTACCCTGGTAAGTAAACTATTGGTTTTTATCAAAGTATTCTTTGTTTAACTTAGTGATAAACATTTACTATGATCTTTGTTTCAGAGTCGAACTCAACGATTTATGGGCTTCGGAATATGTCTATTTTTTGGTATCTTGTGCTTTGTACTATCGTTTTTGTACATACCTTTTCTTCTGCTACAAGCAAGGAAGTTTGCATTATTATTTACATTGGGGAGTCTCTTTTTTATATTTAGGTAAGTTTACACATCCATTCCAACAATAATCAAATGAGTCATTAACGAGTTACAATCATCAGCTGGAACATAACTGTTTATTGGTTTATTAAACTGTTATGAAGTACTTATTATCAAAAATGGAAGTGTAACCTGTATGACATTAAAAACATATTGCCAATGCACTGCAATTACATGCTATAAAACAAAACAGGCTAATGTATTACACATTAGCCTGTTTTGTTTTATGCAATATGCATACCTCAAGCAACTTATTTAAGAATTGAAATAAAAGTGTTGTATGTAGCTTAACATGCCAGTGCTAAGGTTGAAATTACATTGAGCGAGAGGTGCATGTATCAGTTGGTTAAACAAATTTGATGATGGTATGTAGGACACAGTCGCGCTAGTGGTTAGTACAGCAGCATGGAATTCTGTGGAGGCCAATCCATGTTCCACCTATGCCGAAATAGATTATTTATTTATATAATGCTTATGAATCAAAATTAATTATCTTATATAACTCCAATACTTCTTATATATACTATAACTCAAATATTATAAATATTGTATTTTTCTTATCATGAATCTTATACAGTTTCAGCTTCCTTTGGGGTCCATGGTCACACTTCAAGTCTCTATTTTCAAAGGAGAAAGCATTAACAACCTGTTTATATGGTTCTACTTTAATTGCAACACTTTACTGTGCACTGCATCTTCAGAGCACACCCTTGACTGTTATTTGTGCGGTTGGACAAGTTCTTGCTCTGCTATGGATGATGATGGGTTCTATTCCTGGTGGATCTTCCGGAGCGAGATTCTTTGGAAGCATGTTTAAGTCATCTGTATCCAATACCTTGCCTATTTAACATAGAATTTACTTGTAATTAACAAATTGTGTCATACAGAACAATTTTAACCTTTTATACAAATACGTGATTTAAGAATCAAAATGGCAATCTATAGATTTACCAACTTTTTATGAAGTTTAAGGAAAAACTATGTTATAATAATTCAACTGTAAGACTTTAGCTTTTATACTATTTCTGTTTTATTTGCTGCCAATATTTACTTTGAAAGAAAAAAAAATTGTACAGTGGCAGTTGGTGCTTGTTGAAAATGGATTGAAAGTAATAATACTGCTCAGTGTTTGATGTGTAAATTAATAAATGTGTAATACTTATTCCCAAATACTATCAAGAATAAAATACACTTGTTTTTTTTCTCTTATCATCTAAAATATATGCTTGCACAAATTGTAAATGTGGGATCTCATGGAGTGTTAAATCATTTGATTGTGCAACACACGTTGAACTGATTTTATGTATAATGATTTTATTAAAATTTATGTAGTATTTTTTTTATTTTGTACGTAAATTGTTCTAAAAAGCCTTTAACATTTTAAGTTGGTTTCAAGAGGTTAGTAGAAAATATAAATATTTGTTTAGCAACTGTTGGTACATTTTAGTAATTATATTTTGAAATAATCCTCCAGATGAAGCGTTGACCTGCAATGTATGCGACAGATCGTTCGCCACTCGCCGGCTGCTTAGTGATCATCAACAGAAGAAGAGGCACTTTGGGTAAAGTTGTCTTTTCTCATTTACTATTTACACAGCGGTTTGCATATTTTATTTGTTTTAATCACGTTTCCGAATATCCAAAGCCAAAATATGTCGACCGACAGCGCCTCTTGTTTTAGATGCTATAGGGTATGTCACATACCCTTAAAGTGACCGCATGCTTGTCTGTCTTCCTCTATCATTAAAAAATATATATTATGGTTATAGTTAACTACAGTGCCCTTTAGTAAAACATCTATAAGTGATTTTTGTACGAGATTCGTTGTAATTCTATATTATGATACTGAATACTAGGGTCCACCTACAATAATGAATGGAATTCATATAAATTAATACCCTATAATGTTATAATCATTACAGATGCAGCTCCTGCGACAGCCTGTTCCCATCTCTAATGGCGTTGGAACACCATAAAGAGGAATTTCAACACTGGAGCGACTCGTCATGTTGCGCATCTCGATCTGAGAGCGACGAGTCCGACGACTGTCGCGACGATGGAAGACTTATATAATGCCGCCACCTCATTATTGCCGGGGACAGACCACAGCACTTGGGCACATTTGTTTAGTGCTTTAGTTATCTACAATAGATTCCATTAATTCGTTTCTGTTATATCGTGAGCTAATTTTGTGTAAAGTTCTGCGCTCTTAATACAAATTTCTGCATATAAGTAAACCGATATTACAGTTTCTATAATCACGGACATGAATGAGGTTTACAAAATTTTGCGAAATCAAAACTAATCGGCCTAAAGAACCTTTTGTCTTTAAACATTAATTGTATGAGGCTAGCGAACTGGCGGTGTTTTCATATCTAATTTTGCGGTAGATTCAAAGTTAGGAAATCCCTCATGAAAAACAACACTTATATTGTATCCTTGGCTATATAAATCGCCACTTATTTAGAAATGGTAGGCTTAAAAAGTGGAGAACATTATCCTAAACATATCAGTGTTATTAGCTGTTTTATCAATAGAGGCTTATATATACCCGGCAATAATGCATATCAATGTGTAAATGGATGACTGATGTAAACCAAAGTGTACATAATCTTGGATAAAATATGGCTAATATGTAAGGGATTGTAAAAATTTTGAATTTAATGTGTCATATATACATGCCCTTTCTTAAAAATGTCTTTATTCTAATTGAATTGGACTTTTAATTAAGCTGAACTCTGTTTTATATTTAAAAAAATGAGTTCGATTAGTATGTTTTTCTGACATAGACGTAGGAAAATGCGACCAGTCTCAGTCTTAGACTTTATCAATATTGGACCAGAGGTCGAATCTACCATGGCAACGAGACATAAGTTACATTGCCAAATAACGTATGTTTTATTAATATAAGGTACCTAGTATATTTTTGTATAGTTTAGGATTTAATAATAGCGACTATAAACTAAAATACGTAGACTTCCTTTTAGTTATTATTTACAATTCATTTTGAAATATAATTGGTATAATAGCTTAAGTAAGCATTGTATATATTTTAGCGAAATATTGAATGTGTTAAGTAAATGGTATTCTAGTTGTAGGATCTGCAACATCACGTATCTTTGTACAAATAAACCAACTAAGAACACTTGTTTAGTCCTTTGTTCTTTTCAACCGACGGCTGGGTTCTAAATCATAAAATAAACTGAGGGCGGGCATACAATAAAACGACAATTGAAAATATGTACAGAAATGTTATATTTATAGGAGGGGCCACAACAAGGGCCGCCTCCTATATGGCCTTAGCGCGGCTCGGCTATCAGTATCGTCCGGGGAGCGACGTACACATTGTTTAATTTTTCATATTATCGAGTAATGAGAGTACGAATCTTACGAAAGCATAATACGAGTGAGTCTAGTTAAGTGGCGTCTCCGCCGTTAGCGATGCGCGCTCGCGACACGCAAAGGCGCGGCGCGCAGGCATGTCCAGTCAGTATAGCCTCGAGCGACCGGCGTAGGTCGCTTCGCCTCGGTTTCAACCGGCATCATCATATTTTAGCGTCGTTCAAGGAACGGTCCCATCTGGGAGAGCGGGCCCACTTGCGGGAGCGCAGGTGGCACCCGACAATTAAGAACCGGTAAATAAATAGTCGATGTACAATTTACGTACTGGACAGGGCATCACAAACGAGAGTGGCATGCGACACTCGTTTCAATAATTATATCAAGTCAATGATATTATACAAATTAAAAATAAAATCATACCACAAGACATGACTTAATAATATCTCGAACGCGATATCGGGACGAGATTACAAACACAGAGGCCTATACCTAGTAAGTTGATGTTGAGGTTTCAAAGAAATGCTGCACACACAAACCTAAATTGTTAATAGCATCGGAGGTGCTGCACACCACGGGCACAGTATACCCCCTAATCAATGTCCAAACATAATTGACTACAGAATTACTTATAATATCGCTGCAAAGGTATCCTGTGGCCACGAGTCACGACGCTCCAAGCGAATTCGCTATACGCTGCGAGCGGCTTCATTCCACTTCATTTTCATAATCATAATTTCATATGGCGTAAAAAGGCCACGAAGTAGCGCCACGAGACAATGAGATACGGGTTCCATGACGCTGTCGACGAATTGGCGCTTCAAGCGTAGTGAGTCTTCGTGGCCGGACCGTTAAAGATGATAATTTTCACACACAAAATAGTTTGGGATAATAAGTCGGTTGTGTTGTCGTCGTCGGGCCTCGTCTCGCCATCGCGCATCGCCAGTCACGTCAGGGGCTCCTGAGGCCCGGGGCGAAGGGCCCTACGCAGTGCCGTTAACGAGCGGCTCGCCCTTGGGCTTAGGTTCGCGTTTGGCTTTGGGCGCTGGAGTAGCTGCCGCACCCGGAGCTGGGCGACCTCCTTCGCCTCCGCCGCCGCTTACACCGTTCTTCCACCCGCCACCTATTTAAATATGTGGCATATTTAATTGTGCTGTATGATGTGTCATCAACAAAGGGACATTATTAATGTGACAAACAAAACTTACAGACCATGCCAAACAAACACTCCTAAGAAACAGCATGCTCAAAAACTCGAATGTTTATGATGCATGCAAAAGTTCCTCATAGAATAAAAGTAATAGCGTAATTGGGTTAATAAAAGAGTTAGCAAAACATTAGTGTGTGATATAGGATTTAAAAGTTTAGGTATATTTTATATGATTGTATGTTAAAACGATGTATATTTTCTACCCTGCTAAAATTTTTAATACAAATTTGGTAATTAGTCACAATTTAGATAAATACTAAATTAATTTACACAAATTTTTGGGTTATTTTGCCCATAACACAGGCGTTAACTTATGTGAGATTACCTCCTACCTAATGTGCATCAACATGATTAATGAAGGAATTAGTCTGAAATAGTGATTGATGGTATAGGCTAGGAGATAACTTTGTGTAAGCATTAGTGCGTATGGTGTACCTTGCTTACGTCGTCTCCTGCTGGCGGGAGCAGGTCTCTCGTCGGGCTCGCGAGTCCCCTCCGACGACACGGACTCTGTGCCATACCACTATACGTCACCACTACCACACTACTCTACGCTAATAAACGATACACCCTACGCATCTAAAAGCTACACCAATATCACTAACATACTGACTTTGGCTATTTGCAGTTTATACTTACAAGGGACTTTTAAACTCTTTACATTATTTTTATTTTGTACCATTTTTACAAAAATAAAAAGTGTAATCAATCCCATTTTAGTACTGAATGTGGCTAATTGAGTATGTTAATGATAAGGTCTAGCGTTTAACTAGCTACTTGTCGTCCTCTACATGCAAAACATGCTTGTGCTCAAACTACAAAAATATTTTGATGTTACACCTGTTCATGCCAAACTCAATATCAGTATATATTTTTTTATTAAATGAAGGAGTGATCCGTAAAGAGTATCCAACACCAAGGTTAAGTCTTCATAGTTTTAACCTTTCATACACTTGACTCTACTGCATATGTGACAAGAATAATTTTCACATTTTGATATAAATGTACAAGTTTCTAATTGTTAAAGGTTTATGTGTTTTTAAATCAATCTTTTAATCCGTTATGTCCCACTGGTGCAATCCTCTGTTAACTTACAGTAAAGGATGTACATTCAGAAGCTTAGGCAGTTCTTACCATTAAACAAATACAGTGTAAACTATATGTAACGACATTTAAGGTACCCATGTATATTTTTACATAATGAAGATAGAACAAATAGTCAGAAAAGACAAAAAGTGTATTAGTCTGAGTGAGTGTTAAGCTATATAGAATGTATTACTCTATGAAAACACGCTTAAACCAATCAAATTCTTTAAGACTTGACATTTAAAGAGTAAGTTTGTGAATGGATGTGAGTGGAGACCTTACACTAGTCACAATAAAAATGCGGCACAATGAGTGACTCACCCCTATCCGCACTGGACACGTCCTGGCTGTCAAGAACGGAGCTCTCGTCGTCAGTCTTGCGTCGTGCCTCTCGTGCGTCCTTTCCGTCGCGCTCTCTGCCCTCACGAGGCTCACGCCGTCTGCCACTCTACGAAATCATTTATTTCAAGTGATCTAATTTGTAGAAATCTACGAGATCAACTTTGAGCAGTCATATCAAACATATCATTTTACCTCGGTACTTACATTCTCCCTCTGGTCACGGGGGGTTTCGCGAGTGTCACGTGGCGGTCTCGGGTGCGCACGCCCATTCTCCAGAGGTACGCGCCTCTCTTCGCCGCGGCGCTCACTTGACCTACAATTTCAAACGATTTCGTTCATACATCATAACAAAACGATTCTTATTCTTTCCTTATTCCAATATATGTTCACCGTAATCATGTGAAATTTACATATACGATTGTTTTTGAAAGACAAGTTGTTGTACCTGTTGACTCGCGGAATTCTAGCGCGGCCTCGGTACGAGCCCTCACCGCGCTCGGGTCGATCTTCACCTAGCTCGGGCGTTGTTCGCCTCCTTTCACCTGTTAATTATTGACGTTTGTTATTAAAATATTTAATGATCAATCATTAAATCTATTTCCCACAGTTGAACGCTATGAAAAAAATGTTGAAATGGTGAATTTACAAATTACATGTATAAATATGTACATGCGATGTTTACACCTAGTATAGTTTTAATGGAATACTTATACATATTTTGGTTAGGTTAATCTAAAAAATTCACTGACCGGGCGGAACGTATCGCTGCGCAGAGGGGGGAGGGCGAGTCCTACGCCCTCGCTGAGTTGGTGCGCCACGTGGTGTAGGATAGGAGATGGAACTACCTCCCATCACCACGCGCAGCTGCTGGTCAATTTCCTGTTTCTCAGCACGCAATTGCTCTACTTCCTAAATAAATAAGTAAAAAATATTAATACAAAGGATGTTTGTCATCAAATCAGTTTAATCATATTGTATATATTAAGACAGATTGCCGAAACAAGAAGTACACAATATGATCAATTGGCGACATCTTATTTTGTCTTTGTGAATAGGCTAGTTTCGTTTTTTTTTGTTCAGATATCCAACACTTGTTTAGTCTCAGAAGGGATCAAGCCACGTGTACAATACCTTAAGATGTGCGAGGTGATACTCGACAAGCACTTTTGCGTTGGCGATGTTGTCACGAGTACCGACAAACACAAAAGGGACCATGCCCTCTTCGCGCGGTCCAACGGGCTGCGGTTCGTTATCGCCTTCCACCTTTACCTGCAACATGTTTACGATAGCCCTCAGTACGCACAGTTTGATGCCTCCGTGGACAGTAATACGTAATACAGTGTACTCTTAACGCCATGGATCGAGTACACGTCATTATATACAAATGTATTCTTGTTGTGGTTATTGAATGGACAAAGTTATTTCACTTCATTATTATTTTTATTGCAATGTAAACATGGATTTTTTTTTCAGTCGACTATTGCCGTGAACATATGTTAATAATTAATTATTGTTCATGCATGGAGCTGTATGTACCGTCCAACTATAGGAAACTAACGCCTTATAATCAACATCTTGTTTTGTAAACTCACTCTGATGACACCACTTTTGTCCACAATCTCCTGAATCACTTTCCCGTTCTTGCCAATAACTTTGCCGACCAGCAGCCGTGGCACCTTCACAGACTCCTCACCATACTCAAGTAACGCGCGCGCCGCTTTAACTGCTTCTGCGGACTATAACGTCAATATATTATAAGTAAAATATATTCATATTCTGGTGAAAAAGCAATTCTTCACTCTTAAAAGTAATGGCTATAAAACGGTTTATACTACTGAGTTATTCGAGAGAATTTATTTTTGTATAAGCACAAGAGTCAGAATCATCTGATTTGTGAGTCAGTGACAGTTGCATATTAAGGTAATAAAGTCAAAATGCTATGTGCATATGGACAAAACTTCTAAATTTTGCAATGAGCATACCTCTCCACAGAGCTTGAATGTACAGGTGAGTTCCTCCAGCTCGATATTAGTGATGCCGGGCACTTTGCGCGCTTGATGAATGTTTGCTCCGTGCGTCCCAATTGCAAGCCCCATCAGATCTTCGCGTACACTGAACTCATCTGTATATCTATTAAAAAAAATACACTTGTAACGTCGAAAGCTGTTGTGTTTTTTTCTGAAAAATAATAATGAAACAACTTACCCGCCCTGATTATGAATTTTCGTGGATTCTAGCTGCCTCGCGGCTTCTTCAGTCTTTTTAAGCAATAAAAGCTTCTGTGTTAGGTTTCTGTAATTGAAAAAGGATCATTTTCATTAATTTTTATAAAAAGACACACGCTGGACTCGACGGACCTTTTCTATTGCTCATACTATAAGTTTTTTATGTGATTATATTATTTTGTAAAAATATGCAATGTCAGAATTTGGACTAACAAAGCACTAGCGCTGAGCTGTTAATATTAGTAGAGATTACATTTCTTATTTAAAGATGTTTGAAACTTATACTACTATAGAATACTTTATCTTTGTACCCATAGCCCTATAGCCTCCATTATTTACTGTAAGCACCAAATATGTGTAGGCAGTGAGTCTGCTGCCTGCCACAAACAGGACCTCAAATGTAAACTTAACAAAAGAAGTCCATAAAGTGCTATAGTATAAAAAAACTAAATAAATAAACAGCTGCCACTTCTATAAAAGTAAATTTATCGGCAGTAACTAGCTCACCTGAAGTGCATTTCGTGTAACATCTGCGCACGCTTTTGCGAAGTCTCACAACGCGATATCACAGCGAGTACAGCGCTTTCTGGTACATACCACACGAGCGCTGCACCAATCGCCTTCTGAAACTCCTTGTGCGCATTCTCCACTTTAGCGCTGTGCATATCGTGAAGACTAAAAAAAATAAATGTCATTATTCTCAATAACAGTTCCACAGCACAATATTATTAGAGTACTCACAATATATGCTGTAATCGTTTCGATTTTAAAAATACTCACTAAAGTTGTAGTTTCAATAATTGACTTGTATCTTAGTATTAGCAAAGGTCTAGTCTATTTGCTACTGTTGTTTGCTTGGCTAAATAGTAAATTGTAATAATAGTACATATATAGTAGTATAGTGAGTATTTGCTTTATAAAAACATGTAGTTTAAAACGCCCTTTAATTGATGATATTGGTTAATATGGGATATGTATGTACATATTCTGTAAAAGTTAAGTAGTATTTAAATGACTAAGCTTAAGAAATAATACTCACTAGTCTTTGAGATCTTCTGGCACGGGTATTTCAAATTTGTGGAAGGTGTTCTTGTCGATGGGAGTCTTGGTCTGTTTGACACGCAGTCGGTCTTGTGGCACAATCTCTGAATAGCAATTGTCCCATTCTAAGTAATCTATTACAAAGAACTCTCCCCTCATCAGCTGCAAACAGTTGTGCATTTTTGAAATGTGTAAAACAAAATTAACATTGATTACAATATATTTATAATCATATTTTTATTCCTTAAAACAAGAGTACGAACCTATAATGATCACATCTTTAATTCTGTGTGAAATTTACTAACACGGAAATAACTAATTCCAGATTAGCGACGCAATTTTATCAGCTAAGTGTTTTTTTTTTTTACTATCTACAAATAACAGTTTTCAAGTTAAGCTAAAGTCATAGTTTGATTTATAAAAACATGAGGTCATTGGAGCACAGAAGAAACTAAAATTAAATTGTTTGCGTGTCGAGCAACAAATTAAATAGAAAGTGGTAAAAAGCGATAGGGTTCTGCATCATTGCAACATAAGTTATTGTTTGTGAGTAATAAGTTTGATTTAAATGTAATCCGTTCTTTTTTTTTAGTTTTACTTCGGCACTACTGATAATTGCTTGAAGGCAAGTAAACACTCTGTAACCTGAAACTGTGCGTATAAGGCCATAATTTAAATACAGCGAGCGGCTTTTAAAACGGTAGGCGTTTGAAAAACGCGTATTTAAAGATATTTCGTGTCCTAGTTCTCATCAAGGTTGCCGCGGGCCGATGCAGCTTGCGGACGATCGAAACCGTATATGTCACAGTTATTGGTGTTTAACTTCCTGCATCTCTAGCAAATATGTTTTGGTAACACTCAAAAAAATGCAATACAAAATGCAGTCACATAAAAATTAGTCAAGTACAAATTGGACTCATTAGGTTTCCGCTATTATTTATAAAAACGAGAAAAAAAAATGGTGAATGAACTGGTGCCAAGCTTTAATATTAATATTGATTTTTTCGTATATTTTGGAATAGCTTTTTTGCATTAGGAGTCTTATCTGTAAATATCAGTTGTCTATGTATAGTTTCTTCAGATATAGCTTAAAGATAGACAGACAGCAGAGCCTATGTATACTAATACTATAAAGCTGAAGAGTTTGTTTGTTTGAACACGCTAATCTCAAAAAGTACTGGTTGAACAATTCTTGTTGTGTTGCACTAACGCATTTATCAAGCAAGGCTTTAAGGCTATTAAATAACAGGCTTTGACCAAAAGAAGCAAAGACACAGCGGGAAATGTGCAAAACTCTAAAAAAAAATTTAAGGGTTTCCGTTGGGTGGAGGTGAGAGATATACATATTACACCCAAATGATATTATAATTAGTTTACCACAGGCATGGAATAGTATAAAACCTAATTTAAGTGTGAATATTTCAATAATGGAATAAATAATTTAGAGAACTATATATTTTTTTGTTCAATTATTAAATATATGTTAACAACCCTTCTATCATATATGTTAGACTTATTACATCAAACCTTTGATTATACATTGTATATAATTATTTGTTCTTTAAAACACTGTCAATACAAAACAAATTTTGAATAATAGGTATGAAATAGTACTACTACTTAGTTCAAGCCTATGTCAACTGCCAAACTCATTAGGTGTCATAAGACAATACAACAAAACAAACATAAACAACTATTGCCATGGAAACTATATTTCTCAGCATTTCAGAAGCTATACCTAAATATTGTTGAATAGTTTTCAGCAGTTGCTTGGACTTAACGATTTCTTAGTCAAAACATTAGTTTAACACAAGTAAATATGTTTTTTTTTTGTAATTGAGAAATAAGTCACAGGATGATATTTGCTTATTTGTAACTTTGAAATAGTATTAAACAACCGGTTTATTTTTTTCCAACAAAAGTAAGCAATTTAATATGAGCAACTCAACAATTTTAGAATATTAGGTTATTTTAAATAAAAAATGTAACACAGTACAAAAAGGTTAATAGAAATCTTTATTTTGATAAAGTTTATGAAAGAAAACAGTTGGTGTAGTTAATATTTACTTTAAAACTTATATGATCCATCCAATTTAAAGTGCTATATAAATTATCAAGTGTAAGCTATTTTTAAGTTTTAATTAAACTAGTTATATGAAATATTAATCTTATTTTAAGAATTGGGAAAAACAACAATACTACTAAATAAAACTCATAACTGTATACTGTACAGTAAAGAAGGATAAACAAAAAAATTAAATAAGTCATTGTAATTCAATACCTTGATATTTGCAGTCCACCACCCGCATGCTTCTGTATCATTTGATCTTGCAAAGACTTCAACCTCTTGGTTTATCACAAACTCTGTGTGTTCGTTTGTGTCTTTTGGTGGTAAGAATACTTGCGAAAATGGAAACTTTGATTCTGGCTGCCAGCTATAACAATACGGCACATGTAAATATCGGAGATTAATTCATAACCAATTACCAAAAAATTATATATGAGTTAAAAATATAACTTACTTATTTTCAAAGGCTACGAGAACCTCGTTGTCGAGCACGTCGGTGACAATGGCCTAGAATTATAAATATAAAGTATTATTGTACATTTAGAACCTAAATGCTTATAAACTCTCCAAAAATATTCGACTCAAGTCGGTCAACAAAGAAAAATATGTTGTAATAATATTCGTATCAGTAGCCCAATTTCAATTTCGCAACTATTTCTAAAAATGTAAAGGATAAAACGAATAAAACACTAAGAAAATTCACGCCCTGTCAGGCGGACATGGCGTCCATTCCAGCCGCGATGATCTTCCAGGGAAAATATTTTTGCAAGTATATAAGAAAGCGTGAAAACTACGATAGGAAAAAATTATACATAACAAAGACCAACGATATTTACGTGTTTTCAGTCAAACTACGACGTACTTCACCATTTACAAACCTTATAATAAGCACCATTTTCACCGTACACCTCGACCGACAAATCCTCCATTTTGATTTGAAAGCAGTATTTGGCGTTTTCAGTAGGAGAATCAAGCTCTAAATGAATTCAAGATCCAATCACATTCAAGTATTTTAGCATAGACAACATCCTTTTTTTTCTATTTAACACTGGCAATCAAAATCTAGAATACCGTAGAGTTCTAAATCTTTGTAATAAATGTGGAGACAGGATAATAGTTATGAAAACAATTATTACAATCTAAAGTAGTACAAAATAAACAATTGTTATATTAATATTATATATATGTATATGTATTTATATACCACAAACCACTGCTGTAAAAGACATGGTACCGACACAATACTATTACCGAAAAAGCCCTAGCCAAAGATAATTGATTTATTACATTAGTCCGAGAATTTAAACCATCTACACCGTATGTGCTAAGTATCATGCTTAAATAAAGTTCATAAAAAAATATTAATAAATTTTTATAAATAAACTTCCACTGGACTAATGTAACATCGTGTTATTATTAAGCCGGGCCGGCTTAATAATAACACGATGTATTGTAATAAAAAATCATCGTGTTGAGATATTGTCATCGGCACATGTTAATGTCATCTTCACTGTGATATAATATGAACAACGTGAAGTAACGTTTGACGTTTGTGGTACATCCATGAATTCAATTTGTGGGACGTGGATGTTGTAAAATAAATATAATGTGAGTTCTGCTTCTACATATTCATAATTCATAAAGGTGTGAACGAACTTAGCAATTGTGCTAAGTTGTGTAAATTGTGCGTTCACAACCATGTTTTTCAAACCCTTCTATATATTCTGCATGGGTAAAATTAAGTTTTGTTTTGTTTCTACAGATGGGGCCTGAAGAGATTGTGGTTTTAGTAACGGGTGGATCTGGTTTAGTGGGACAGGGTATCAAGAGTATTATAGAGGATGAAAGACAACTGGACCCAAATACACAAAAAGAGCAGTGGATATTTTGCGGTTCAAAAGATGCTGATCTAAGGTAGGCAACTAAATATAGTAGATAGGAACATGATATCAATGTGATAAAGTATTATGAATTTGTCTTTGTTTTACTATTTGTAGGAATAAAACTGAGACTGAGGCATTGTTTGAAAAATATAAGCCTACACATGTAATTCACCTCGCTGCTATGGTTGGAGGGTTGTTTCATAACATGGCACATAATCTTGACTTCTTTGTGAGTTATACTTCTCCAATCTATATTGTGTTATGAAAATGGAATCATTGAAATATGTATATACATTAATTAATTGACTTATCATAAATTAGAGTGCTTAGAGTTTCACTTAACTTTCACTTGAATTCTCCCTAAATATAAATATTTCTTAAATTTAATTTAATTTAAAATATTTATTACAGAGAGATAATATGTCCATAAATGACAATGTGCTGTATGCTAGCTATAAGTATAAAGTGAAAAAAGTAGTTTCATGCTTGTCCACTTGTATATTTCCTGATAAAGTTACATATCCTATTGATGAGACAATGGTAAGTTAAAATATAATTTTTATAACTTTAAAATAAAACACTTTTTACTTGATCACAACTAAAAAAAAATCCCTAGCAAATTAATATACTGTAAATAGAATTTTCATTGATATAATGCCATCATGTGCAATAGCATAAGAAAAATAATAAATTTTCAGGAGAATTAAAGTATAAATTGCTTTTCTTATTTTGTAGACACTGATGTGGATGTAAATGTCTATGTCTAGTGTAATGTATATATATATATATATTTTATAGTGTTTACATATAACATAAATGTTGACAGGTTCATAATGGTCCACCACATACATCAAATTATGGCTACAGTTATGCCAAAAGAATGATTGATATTTTGAACCGGTAATGCAAATAATAAAACAATCTTGTGACTTAATATTAATTTCAAAGAATGCAATTTATATTATGATATAAACTATAACTATTTTTATTTTATTGCAGAGGGTACCATGATCAGCATGGTTGTAAATTTACTTCTGTCATCCCATGTAATGTCTTTGGTCCCCATGATAATTTCTCTCTTACATCAAGCCATGTTATCCCAGCACTTATTCGTCGGATGGATGATGCAATGAATAATGGTAAATGACCTTAAAATGTGTTATTATTTGAAAATTTATGGTATTGGGTTAAAATTACATGGTAATGGCACATAAAAGGTGTTATGTGTGTTGCAAATTATATTAAATCTGAAATACTTTTCATTAATGTTAAATAATTGTCTTATTGACAGGTGACTCTACATTCTCAGTGTGGGGTAGTGGCACTCCCCTCCGTCAATTTATATATTCACTTGACATCGCTAAGCTGTTTGTCTGGACACTACGGCATTATGATAGCATCGAACCCCTGATATTGTCAGGTAATATCATATATTGCTATATTGCATTGCTGTCTTGGGAACAATTCAAAGAATGTGTATATATAGATAAGTAGATAAGGCGTATGTGCCCTCTAACCTTGCATAAAAGAAAAGACTAGAAAATTTTGTAAATTTTTTAATTGCTGTTCTTGTTTCTATTATTTTGAAGGCCGGTATAAGTTGAGAAGAGGGTCCGATTGTTTCTGAATTATTAGGGCCCACCTAGCTATGCTACTGTATAATATTCAGTTATATTTAAACTCTTTTCATATCGATTATTATATCCGTAATATTTTAACGCTATCGTATTATATATTCATTACAATTGATATTCGTCAATCGTAATCAATTTCTTATCGCTAAAATGTAAGTACTTTTATATTTTCAGTTGATGAAGAAGACGAAGTATCCATTAGTAAAGCAGCCGAAGCTATAAAGAAAGCACACGGTTTCACTGGAGAAATTATATACGATACAAGCAAAGCAGATGGACAGTACAAGAAAACAGCGTCAAATAAGAAGTTGCGTTTGCTATATAGAGACTTCACGTTCACTCCCTTCGAGCAAGCTATACATGAAACTGTAACTTGGTTCAAAGAAAATAGGGAACACGTTAGACTATAACTAAAACAATATTTATTTATTCCAATGTGTATTTTTATTTCATTGTACATCATTTATAGTTATAAATAAATTAAGATAAGGATAAATATAAAACTACAGCTCATAATTTCTATATAAAAGTTTACCACCGTTATAATATCAAATAATATATTTCACTTTAACTGACCGACATATCGCCTGGCATTGCGTTAAACGCGAGAGGTCCTGGGGGTTTAATACCTGAGAAACAAATTATTTTGGTCGAGCAGGGCACAGAAGTCTGATTAACTACTTGCTTGCAAATAAAACTAATCAGTGAAACGGAAACGGGATTTTATTAACATAAATCATAAAATATTAATTTTAAAAGCGTGTGGAGGTCTATTCGTAATTTTAACAGCTACAGTATTTACAAATCGCACGCTTAGTATTAGAGTGACCTAACTCAAAATTTAAGTAAAAATAGATAATTGCACTGACATTACGCCATCATCATAGTTTTATACGATTTGACCAAAAAGTGCTTTTTTTTAAAATTCAGTCACTGTAATACTAAGCGTGCGAAATATGCTATACTATTATTATATCACAATTTGCGGTTCAAATTAATAACTTATATAGCAAGGCCCTGTTCGTCATAAGTGACGAATATCTTCTCAATCGCGTTTATATAGGCAGCTGTTCGGACGTCTAAACCTAGATTATGTGCAGCCGCCGCTTGCTTCACATTCTGGTAATAAAAATATACATAATATATCTTGTTTACTTTGGTTTGATGTAGAGAAAGTCCACTGTATAGTACCAGTCTAAGAGATCCCAAGGCTTATTTTTTTAGTTATTATAATAATACTTTTTTATTCAAGTCCACTGTCCGTTTGTAGCCCAGGACATTCATTTGATTTCTATAAACTTAATCCTCCAACTTAGCGGGGACGTCACAACACTAGTGCGATGCGATAACTGCGCGCGCCCCGCACTAGCTTAGGAACTGTCAAAGACGAACGTTGGCGCGCATTTTGTCGGCTAAGCCAAATTTTGGCTAATAAATGAATATTTTAGAGTTTAACATTGTTTTTCCGTCTTAATAGTACATTCTCATAACTATGAATGTGTTTAGATCATAAAAGAGACAGACATATTTTTTACCTTCTAAAGGCGAAAATTATCGGTTTAAAACGGAAAATATATTCGTTTACTTATATTAAATTACGACCCGACGTTTCGGCTACTTTGCAGGCTTGCTGCAAGCCATGGTCACGATCCGTGACTCACGGAGAGAATAGTTTTCATACAAATTCAGTGATATCGCGAATAAGCTACTAAATTTACGATCATATAATATGCTATGGTATCTTACATTGCAAGCATTGATCATAGAATACTCTAAGCCAGACGTCACGATGTGGTGTTCACTTGCACCAGACATAAGAGACTGGAACAACGGCGTTGGGTGAATCTGAGCGTCAATGTTCGACTTCTTCAGTGACTTTTCTACGGAATCTAGTTTGAGAAACATCAATAGTTAAAGCTTTATTACAGGGAGGAAAACAAGTTTAATCTATACTGCTTTATAATATTTTGTTTGTTTGAGGGCGCTAATCTCTGGAATTACTGGTTCGAATTGAAAAATTATGTTTGTGTCGGTTAGAGCATTTATCGAGGAAGGCTTTAGCTTATAAAAGATCACTCTGCGATGCAAAGGAGCGAAGAACCAATGGGAAATGTGGAACAAACTGGGATAATAATGTATCGTTGAGAGTGTCCGTTGCGGGCGAAAACGGTTCAAGATACCCCAAAAAATATGTATGAAAAAGATTTCCTTAAATTATCAACAAATATGTCCGTGATTTTGCATGTTTATCTTATAAGATTAACGTGCAAGAACGACGGGACGCGAATGACGTCGTGGGTAAGGCCTTATAAAGATGTGGTTTACAAAAACAAATTTTGACGCCCAAAATAACTAATCTACGCGGACACAGCTAGTCAAGATCTATCATCTACCCAAATGATAATCTATAATGATGATCTATTTCATAAATTTTTAAAGAAAATCAAACCCACCTAACAGTGCGCTGTTGGAATCCCTCCAAAACTTTATACTGAGCTTTCCAAAGCTGACGTGATTAATGTTTTTAAGGAACTCGAAGTAAGACACGGTAACTCCACCGGCGTTCGCGAGGAGATCCGGAAGGCAGAGTATCTTTTTCTCGCGGAGGATAAGATCAGCTGCAGGCGTTGTTGGACCATTTGCCCCTTCAATTATAACCTGGAAAACATTTCGATTCTTTACTAGCTGGCGCCAGGAGTCTCATAGTCATGGTCAAGTTAAGAACATTTAATTTTGATAAAAGTACACGTAAACATATTGTACCTACTTACTTTAAAATAATTGTACACTTAAAAAATTTACCACATATTAATTTGTAAATAAAGTCAATATGGTCAATTAGTGGTCCACCTATGGCCTGGAACCAGCTCAGGGGGAATCCTGATCCCTGGATCCGCCGTTGAATACAACTAAGGTTTATTAGAATCCTTTGTTTTTTATTCGGTAGGTACGTAAAATATATTTAATGAAATATTATGCCTCTTGCTGGTAGTAGGTTGTACCGTGTCAGCTAATTAATTTTCCTTCCGGTGAAACCGTTTGAACGAAAGAAAAGTATTATCCTCAAAGACTTCAAAACCACTGAAGCAATATACAAAAATGTATTTTGTATAGTCATATATTTATCCAATATGAACTTACTAAAGACATATACCTTGCAGTTCAGTTTTCCAGCGTTTTCGTGTGTGATAGTTTTCTCTAGAGCAGCCACTACGAGTATGTCGCATTTTTCGTACAATAACTCGGGGCCGCATTCTGTCGCACCTTGAAAGCCTTTTGCGCTGCCGCGGTTTTTCGTCTTGTAGTCATGTAGTTCCTATACGCAAATCAAACATTGGAGACAATCACAACAGTGAAGCCACCACACTAGTTGAGAGCTTAAGCTAACACTTTTAATTTCAATACGTTGTAGCAGAATAGAGAAATAGTATTTACTCTTAACTTATTTTTTATGATCGATGAACGCCGCTTGATGGCAGGTCAAATACCTATTTCGGCTTTGGATATTCGGAAATTCATAGACTAAAATCGAAACGAGATTAAACTTCACGGCTTTCTCACCTGTTCACGGTTGTTCGTGACACGGACGACATTTCGATATTCCTACCACCCGTTTAATATTTAAATGTTCAGAAAAAATACAAATTTATTAGAAGCATGTTGGACCCGGTGGATCAAACAGACGACCTTTTGATTATTAGCCATACACCAACGAGTCGGTCAAATTAGCAAAAAATTAGACTACAGGAAAATAGGTTTTATACAATTAGGCTATACTTTTTTAAACTTTTTGTTAGAATTTGTGGTGAATTGCAGTAAAAACGAATATTGCATCTGATGTGTGATAAAAGAACAGCCCATATTAAAAATCGAAAATAAATTGAAAAATATTTCGACTTGGGCAGAACATGAACCGGCATCGTCAGCGTTCCGTTCTGTTGCTTTAACTAATTGAGCTACCGAATCCTGACCTTACACTTGATGCCTTCCGGGTTCTTGAGGTTGCAGTCAGCTTCCAGCACACCGATTACCTTTACGCCGCTCTCTTGAAGGTACATAGCGGCCCAACTGCCAACGTTGCCGAAACCCTGAACTATGGCCGTTTTGCCCTGGAATTAAAGAAAATACAACATAAGTCTGTTTTACGTCAGTAGATATATGAATAAACATTATAATGTAGCGCGAATGGTAAACGCTGTTTATACAATACTAGCATAGTATATAAAATAAACAGGTACGAAAATCAAGGTATACCTTTTGTTCTTTGGCATTATAGACAAACATTTTAAAAGTTTATTATTTTTCACACACCTAACTATATACATTGAAAACCGGTTTTTAGCTTGAATCGGCATCCAGGTAGGTCAATTGGTTAGAATGCACAAAACTTTTAAACTGTATTAGTTACGTTTCGTTAAATCCCTCTCGTGTAATAAAATAAGCCAAAAACAACTGTTAAAACTTCGAGGAGAGGCCTATTTGACTATTTTTAAAACTTCCCTTTTTAATTATTTTTATTAGGAAAAGAATGGAATAAAAAGTCACTTTCAGACATTAAGCCATTGCTTTACAGAAACAAGTTAAAACAGTTTTTGCCTAGTCGAGGAACAGGCATTGATGATGATGATTGACAGGCACTTAAGATGGCTAAACCAAAAAGCTCGATTAACCGCTAAATAAACGCGATAAAAGCTTTGGTACAAGTTAGATGCAACAAAAAAGATATGAAACCAAATAGTTTTAGACTTGTACATCCACTTTAATACAAATGCATACGTTAAAACCAGGTTCAAGGTCGATGAGCTTCATCCACTGTTCGTCGTGCATGAACTCGCTGGCTGTGATAAACACACCCCGACCAGTCGCCTCCACGCGCCCACGGATTCCACCGCCATTTATAGGTTTCCCTGTTACGCAGGCGGCTGCATTCAAATCGTTGTATCCTGTAATATTTGTAGTTCTTGGTCACTACTTCTCTGAAACTGAAAACCGGCGCTTCTCCTCTACTCTTAGATGGTGAAGCACACGCCGAGTGCTTTCTCCCATTTCATAAGTATTCTTCTAAGTTTACTTTTCTTCCTCTTTTTGTTTATTAAGCTAATGTTTAAGTTTAATTTGTTGTATTTTTTATGTCTTGTGAAATAAATGGTTTGATTTTGAGATTAAGTTTGAATATAATATTTCAAACTTCCATAAAAATATTTTTGGTAGGTTCAAGAACGATGGGACGTGAAGAAATGGCGGGACTCTATTAATTAAGTTTTATAAGGGTTTAGATAAAACTTCTGAACAAACACATGGAATAATGTTGGTATTCAAAGAATTGCCATGCTGGACAAGTGGTTAGTTAATAACTCGATGAGGTCCCGAGTTTGAAAACTGGTTAAAACGAAATGTTAGTTTCATTACGAATATTCTATCCAAATTCTTAATGTCTTAGTTACATTACAGGCCGGAGTTTCTTTCTCTCTCTCTTTCTCCCTGCAGAGAGTATGTTGTAACCGTCGGTCCCGGTTTTCATCACTAAGTCTGTGGCGATAATCGTTATAGCTCGTCAACTAGTGCAGTATGTAACGTATAAGGTCTTAAATCCTTCCTCCTACGAAAGATGAGACATGTACCTAGCAGTGAAACTAAAAGGTTGAAGGGACAATGCATGTAGTTTGTGTTACCTTTAAATACCTACGAATTAGAAACAAAACTATACTTTTTTAAAAATGTTACTTAAATCTAAAGTGATCATCAGAACTCAGCTAAATAAAGGAAAGGGGGAACTTACCCAAAGTTTTTATATATGTATCAACAATCCATGACATTTCTCTTCCTGATGTATTCACGTCTGGGGCCGGTACATCGATCCCAGCTCCTGTATTTTTTTGTTTAGTTATTTTTTTATAAAGTACCTACTCACCTACATGGTTTACGCACACGTTTATAAAAAAAAACTGTTTGAATTCCGAAATACATTTTTTATGGCATCCTTAATGTCAAAATCTGCTACGTTGCCGATATTATTTCACCTTTTAAACCGTTAAATGTATTCCTTGATGATATCATTAAGTAAGACAACATAATATAATTACCAATATAGTTTTTCTTTGCCAATTCGAGTGTATACCGTCTGGTTATCCTCTGCAACTCGGCGACTGTGTACTTTTTCGGATTTATAGCAACACCTGATTATTATAAATCCTTGGTCATGTGATGGTTAACTATGTATTTAAAATAATCAGAAAATTGATTAGCACAAAAAATAACAGTGGGTTCCTTGTCGGCGCTTTTTACTAGTATTAGGTAATATATTTTTATTAAATCGTGATTGGTTTGGTTAATGCCAACGTTTACCTTTTGTACTTAACCAGTATAGGTTTGGTCATTGCGTTAAATGCGGTATAAACTTTGTTAAGTTGTTTTTATGAAAATTACCTCCTTTAGCACCACCAAACGGGATATTGGAGCAAGCACACTTGTATGTCATCAGCGCTGCCAGAGCTTTTACCTCTTCTAGATAAACTTTATCAGAAAACCTTATACCTATTTAAAAAACATTACATATTCATGACATGGTGATATGTTTCTATAGTAGAACTTATTTATTAGTCTGTTTATGTTCAGGATAATAGTTTGATCAGGCCTGAATATTATTTGACGGGTTCGTTGGTATGTTTAATTAATAAGCAACGGTCGTGGGTTCGGTCCCCACCAGGTGCAACATTTTTTAATCATTTTTTGACTGAAACATGTTAGACTTCGTCTGCAGACCTGGATATTAAATGGCTCTAAATAAAAAATATGAATTTGTGCTAAATCTCATTCAAATGCTTTCAGCCGTTAGCGCATTGATACTTCAGTGATGGTTTCTTTTATATAGCTTCTACTTACCACCTTTACAAGGTAAGCGGTGCACGCTATGTTGCGAACGATAAGCATGTATAATCTCATAGTCGCCATTTTTCCGTTGAAGTGGAAATTCAAATTGTAACGAACTATTACACGAGCCCATAACCTACGGGATAATTCGATTTTTAAACTCTATAGAGATTTATTATGTAATAATGTCCAAATGTTGTAGAGACGAGACTATATAAGAATGAGGATATAGGTAGTAGGGCTTTATAACAAAGGCCCACCACGCTGTGGTATAAATAAGGGTGGTAGGTCTCGATAGCTTAGCGCTGTGGCCGTATTGACTGACTAACTTCCACTATTATATAGTACATGTATTTTGTAGCATCATGTTAATCCTTTCAGGGCAACGTCTAAATGAAATATTTTTAATTATTTATATATCTACTACATAGACGTTTACTTACCTTTAAAATTCCAGCGACCCTTTGCTTCCGTTTTTTATCCGAGAAATGTGTATGCTTTTTTAAATAGGCCTCAAGACTCGGTTCGCATACCTTCACTGCGTAGTGGTAAAAATACTCCACCATCTTATAAAAGCTTGGATTCGGGTCACTAGCTACACCCTTCAATTTTTCTGGTATCTCATAGTTTCTTACGCTCAGCCTCAAAGGGCCTCGCACTAATTTAAAACCTAAATTTACAATGTTCTTATTTAAAAGTATTAAAACCATTATTTAAAATTAATTTAAATAAACTTGATTTGTTGTACAACACGACGAGTGTCATAAATAATAAACCATGTTGAATTTAATGACACGGACGTTTCAAATGTTTGTCACTTGCGAAAAAGAGATTGAACTACGCAAATGTTTTTTTTTTCATTTTGCTTGTATAGCAACCATACCGAAATTACATTTATTATAACTAGTGTAATCTAGACGGAGATTGAATCTCTCGAGACCATTCTTTTTATCATTTTTTATTTTGAAGATCGGAAGATGCATCCCCCAAACATATTCCCACTCTCTCTTCGGACCCTAAATTACTCATATAATCAAAAATATGTTGCAAACGTTTAAAATTGACTTTGGCTTGTTTCTTATTCAAAACGGTCGGTACCGTCATGTTTGTTCTTTAAAGACATTCACACAAACCGAAGGTAGATAATAATAATTATATAATATAATATCCGGCAAAGGACCAGGTCCAAAACAAAAAAATATATATATCCAATATTTTAGTTTCTACAAGCTTTAAGAAGAACACAAAATTTATAACTGACAAATATTTATTAACAAGTCTTTTCAGTTTTATTTATCAAGTCTACATATCGGATTGCTCTGAACCATTTGAAGATCTACTTTGGGTCCAACAAGATCTCTGATATTGTTGAGGCCATATTTGATCATTGTAGGTCTTTCCAAGGATAGACCCCATGCAATTACGTTCACATCTGAAGGTAATCCCATTGGTAGCAGCATTTCGGGACGGAATACGCCAGAGTTGCCGATTTCAATCCATTTTCCGAGCCCTGAAGAAAAGAGAAAAACATGATTAACAATATCTCTTAAGTATTTAGGTAACACTTAACCTATTTTTATAATTTTGAATATATTATAGCACGATCCAATTAACAACTGGGTCCACATGTGTCTAATAATCAATTTACTTTATCTGTGGATTTCCAAATGTCCAAAGCAAAAAAATGCACATCTAGTTTAGATGTTACAAAGCTGGGGTAAATCCTCTATCATATACCCTTGCTTATTTGTTGTGTTCTGTCATAAAAAATAAAAGGACATTATATTAATAAACAAACCTTATATTGTTTAAAGATGGATTGAGCTCATTTGCAAATGGTTGAATAAATTTTAACAAGTTTTACTGGTTTTTCATTTGGCAACTTTGAGATAAATCAATCATTATAAATATTTATATGATCACTCACAGGAGAACGAAAAAGTTTAAGAATATTACTAGGAACAGGTAAAGTTCACAGAAAAAACGCTATATGGTCTTTAGTTTGTTTAGTATCCAGAGAAATTTACCAGTGTGGTATGCAAATATTTCCATGCTTGGCTCGGTATATGGATTGTAGGCAGGTTTGAACTGCAGTTTATCAAAACCGAGTCTTGAGAAGAAAGCGTCCAGCTCGCTGATTAGATCAGCTAGTCCTAGGCCCCGCGCTGCTACCACACCTTCCACTTGGTGGAACTCAGCTAAATGGGTAGCATCAAGTGTTTCATTCCGGAACACCTAGAAAGCCATGCAGGTCAATTATTTTTACATACACAATGAATGCAATGCATTAGGTAAGTCTTTGTCATAAGATTACCCCTTCATCTCGTTGGAAGGTGATATATCAAATTGGTGGATAACCTCAGAGAAGAAATGGTTTATACCTTATCTATACTGAAGTATTTTTGTGGCCTGAATTCTTTCTCCTGAGCCAATTTGTATAGCATACGCGCACTCACTGCTGTTGTATGGGTGCGCAGTAAATTTTTCTGTGCCTCCTCTATTTTCCAATCATACCTATAACCCTAAAACATGAAATGTAGAATATAGTAATTGTTCAGGAGTTGTATCAAATTATATACATAATTATAATTTAAAAGGTAAAGTTATCCGAAAAATAACACTTTAAGCCATTATTCTTTAACTGCTCTTTTAACCTTCAAAATTTACGTAAAGTTTTAATAACAAACCTGCGATCCATAGCCTCCTTCGCTGTGCACCTTTTTAACCTTTTCTAGGTAATCCATAGGAAAGGTTGTACTGGCAGCAGGTGAAGACATGAAGAATGTGTCGTGCGCATCTCTAGCAGGGTGCTGTTGAGGCTGGAAGAGAGCATCAAAATTCCAGAAGGAACTCTCAATATATTGATTTGTTGGCATCTCTGTGAAGCCCATCTCTAGGAATATTTCCCGGAATTCAGACCTCACTTTAAGCAGTGGATGAAGGTGTCCACTTGCTGGTGGCTGACCTAAAAATAGAAAAAAAAATCATACATTTTGAAATTATTGCCTATATGTATTATTTATAAATATAATTGGTTTGTGGCATTTTGTCTATATTATAAAAAAAAGCAATACAGTTACCTAAAGCATCAAAGTTATATGGCTTAAATTGCAATTCCTTCCATGCACCAGTCATTAGCATTTCACTGGTCAAGTCAGTTTCTAACTTCTTAATTGATGTTGCAAACTGTGGACCTTTAGATAAAATGAAGCTTTTCAATGTAATTTCTTGCAAAAGCTTCCGTTTCTTGTAATCATTGCGAATATTATCTGTAAGATTATCAATTCCTTTCTTGATTTCATTCAAATTTTCTTGTACAGTATCAGTAATGGACTCAACTTTTCTTTTAACTAAAGGTGCACCCGCTGATTTATCTATATAAATCCAACCTGATGACATTGCTTTACTAAATCCAACTTTTGCGTTCGGAACTTTCTGTAAACAAATAAAATTATTTATGAAGTGCACATTAATCAAAGGAAAATAAATATTTCGTAACAATTAATTAGTGGTAGAGCGGTTTAATAACTATATAAGATAAATTAACACTTTTATACACCTTCATAACTTCTGCCTGTGATATACCGTCCTCTGGAATACTCCTGTACAAGACAGCTTCATGGCTACCATGGTCGGCGACTAATTGTCCTTCTTCAGTTAAACCCCACTTGGTAGTCTTTACGGGCTCCGAAGTAACCATCTCGAGAGCTTCTATACTTTTAACCGCACCAATAATTTTTTGATGGTCTTCATTAAATTCATTGGCTAGTTTCAACGTATCGACTTTATCACTTCCTTCTAAATAACATAGTATCCTTTCGTTAAGCTCCATTTTAGTAAAATAATATATTTGGTTTTTTATTTAGGGTTACAAAATATCTTGATACTTGACAGCTTTATCACCGAAAACAATTATAAATCTACCACTATGACTGTCAGTTACCTATGACGTGAAACTTCTTCTTCTAATGGCGGCTCTACACGATGGCGAAGATATTGGCGAACATTGTGGCAAAGATTTTGGCCGAGTGATTGTGACGTCCACACGTTGGACGGTCAATCAGTTTGTTTCGGTTTGGGCCAATGTGCGGACGAAAAAATGGATAATATATTTGTTGTTAATTTCACATCCACGCCCTCATGTCTATGTAATCCAAGTGATAAAAGATCCTTGTTTGACTATACTGTTCCTTTTTACTTAATAGAGTAAATATGAAAAGGGGAATGTCTTGTTGTTTTTTTTTTATTTTATGATCTTTATTTTTCGGATTCCATAGACAGTTTTCAGCTTGATAGAGCTCTATGAAGCGAAAGTTTCTTCATTACTCATACTTGCCATAATCGTATTCAATATTAAAAAAATAGACCGCACAGAATGGGCGCTCGCTGAAAACTGAGCGTGTCGCCAACGTGTGGACGCTACGGCCATCACTGTGCCACAATCCTGCAATAACCCTTTGATCTGCGTAGAAAAACCGACACCACACGGATCTTGCGCCAATGCGTGGGCCAATAGTCCAATACCTACCAAATAGATCACCAACCCCTGTTCTACACAATGGCCAACACGTATTGGCTAATACATTCGCCAATATCTTCGCCATCGTGTAGAGCCACCATAATACTAAGAATTACGTCAACCCACAGATGATATGAAGATATAATATAGTCTGTGGTGTGACACTAACAGCTGTATCATAGAGTAGATAAATTATTTTATTCACTGTGGTACGTAGCAAAGCACCGTAAAGATTATTGACAGAACTAACTTTTGAGTCATGGCAATTGGCATTGATAAATAATTTGCCGGCCGGCGCGGTAGTAAGCTAATTTTTGAATTACGTCCCATTTATAAAGAAAAGGGCAAAACATTTGTTTGACTTTGAGAGGACAAATACCTTAATCATTCCAAATTATATTTTAAAGTTACTTAAGTGTTCTTTTAAATAGATAAGGTAAGATTACTATTTACTTGGTATTTATTTATTGATGATGATGATGTTGATGATTTAATTTGTAATTATAATTTGATCCACAACTGCTTATGTAGATTGTGATTTTACATACCTAGTTTTTAATGTATGTTCGTTTTTGTTCATGTTTATTACCTATAATGACAATTTTTTCTTAATGCAAAATCAACATTATACACAAGAATTATATTTTTATTTAAAGATGCGTTAAGACACAGCTTGTAGAAGTGCTGTATTTAGTATTAAAATTTATAAAATTACGCCGTACGATAGTATAAAAATCAATAGTACAATGCTGGGGAAAATTCCAGATGTCCCGTTTGGACTTGGTCATATTTGGGGCGACGGGTTTCACGGGCAAACATGCTGTTATGGAAATGACTCGTCAGGTAAAAAAATACCCAATGTCTTGGGGCATCGCTGGACGCTCGCAGAGCAAACTTGAAGATGTATTAAAGGAGACCGCTAAGAAAACAGGTACTGTTATTTACTAAAGCTAACTTCTAAAGGCCATTTATTCTTTATAATATTACTATTCTGCAAAAAAAAGGTTTGAGTTTTATTCTGTTTATTTATAGTTGCTTTATTTTAAAGCACTGGATTCACTATATTATTAATTAAATCGGTTTTATTGATTGGCAACTTTCATGTATTTTTGTGCACGTAATTTTAATTTGGAACCTTTGAAGTCACCTATAGCTATATACCTTTCTAAGGTATATAGATAGCATCCCAGATTCTAATCAACAGGATGTATATCGACCTTTGAAGTTAGGGCCTCGGCGTCATATTTTCACACACTACCAAGATGTTCGTTTTTTTTTGCACAGATAAGTATTTAATTCTGAAAATAGGAATTCGACAAACAAAAAATGATGTCTGTAGTTAACGCGAGTTAGAAGTTGAACACTTTTAACGGTTTAAAACTTCATTTAATTTTTTAAAACTACGGCCTGTCGTTTCGGGCGTTTTGTAGCAACCGTGGTCTCCTTGTTAATAAATTAACTAATGTTTTCCGCGTTTTAAAAGGTAAAAAGTGTTTATACAATAAACGTAAAATGTTATGAATTCTTTTTATATTCTCCTTTACTACTGCATATTTTGTTTGTCGCGTCGTGCGTATTGTTTGTATAGACAAGCTATGTTTATTTATGTCATTATGTATAGTACCAACTACTCAAGGAAAAGGTATTAAATAATATGGATATTTATAAATGTTAGCTATAAACAGCGATACATATTACGTAACCACTCGATTAATCTTCGCGTCAGATAACTACGAATTATACATTTTTACATGATATGACTAATTATCTCTAGATACGAAAAATTGTTCGTCCAGCCCAGCACATAAAATACTTATAAACCTGTTTGAAGTTACAAAAAAGTAATTTTCGAATTCCGGTTGCTTTCCGAATCAAATAACAACAATGCCATATTAAAATGCATGAAGTAGATTGGGTTGATCGAGAAAATTTTAAGTGCTTTATAACGACCACCGTATCCTTGGTTGTATGAATTGTGTTACGTGCAAGACGTCATGTATTCGATTCTCGGCGAAATATAAGTTTAGTGGAACGGATATGGAAAGTCCAATGTCACAATAGCATTTCAAATAATTCAAGAATTAAGTAGGAAATTTATTAAACATTCAAACATTTTATTTAGCATTAACATAATTACTTAATTATCACTTTACATAGCGACCGGCTGTATTTTCTACGTTAAAGGTTATCACGGCTAGCGACGTCCAGGTATTTGATAAGAGTTAAAATGATAAGAAATTCATTTATTCGATTGCACAACTTGTTTACTAGCGTTGCTTGAAACTTTTATATAATATGTATTGCACGAAAACTGATTACTGTTAACCCGTATATGTTTGTTATTATAATAACGTATTTCTTCTGTATGCAATTACTTAAAACCACTTTGAATGAAAGAGTACTATTATAGACAGAGAAGGATAAATTCAATTGTTTTCGATTCAAACAAAAAAAGGTTTTAAATTAAGATAAGTATGTAGATTTGCAATACAGATAAAAAATGTTGTTTTTCATACACACATTTCCATATATCAATTTTATTAAAGCATAAATATAGATTAACCAAGCAGTTTTTGAACCATACGTCGTATTTAATAGTGCAAAGCCCTTTAATTAGTTCAGTGACCTTTTGACTTTATACCCTGCATGGACGGAGTCAGTTTTTTCTTAGAGGTCATCATCGTTGACAGCGTTTGTTCAACATGAGCGTTTATTATATAAAAAATAATTACTCTAGCAAATTGCTTAGTAATTGTCGTTATACCTAGTATTTACTATACGCGTTTTTACTAGTAAAACCTTGACATAAGGCCAAAGCTATATTTTATTGCAACCGATAGGTATAGTAATGGAACTAAAGGTTGGGCTGCCGTTGTTTTCAAACAAGTGGCATGATATTGTATTTGTTTATGTATAGAACTTGTCACGCATATATACAAAGCTATAAAATGTGTCGTTATTGCATAACTAGCAGATGTATAGTAATTAGGAAATAACGCTTCCGGTCATCGATCTATTCTAGTCCTAGCCTAATAAATAATAAAAGTTTAAATTTCCTTTAAAAATTTTAAGCCTTTGTAGCAATACACAATACAATATTAAAAGAAAACTGAAGTCGTTACATAACAATTAGATATAGAACTATTGCTGAAAATGACGCAGCAATTTTGCCCAACTTTTCACACGTACATGCAATGCACGTGTGAATAAACATATTAAATATTAAGATTGTATGCAGAATTGTGAGCAATAACGAACTTGTTAAGTGTTTGATCCTAACCTGTATCTTTGTAAATACCCCAACAAAACGTTGCGCTGTCGGCCTATACAATGCGTATGCGAGATTTTTTTCGTTTTCAGGCGAGGATGTGTCCGCGGTGAAATTAATAGTAGCTGATGTATCTGATGAGAATTCACTAAAGGAGATGTGCTCTCAAGCGAAGGTAGTGGTGAACTGTTGTGGTCCATACCGACACTATGGTGAACCGGTCGTCCGGGCTGCTGTCGAGTCGAAGACACACTATGTTGATGTCTCTGGGGAACCACAGGTACTTCTTCTCTTATATTATAAGACTAGCTGATTTTCCAACTTTGATTACCGGATTTTATTAACGGTTCTTCTGAGTTAATCTTTAAAGTTAGACATATAATGTCGGGATTGTTGTAGATTATTTTAAGGGGAACAATTCTTTGGTACATATTTTTCTGAATATGTACCAAATTATGATATGTAATCATATCATAATATGATATATGAATGAATGGTTTTCTCTGTTTTTTTTTCACATTTGCCTCTGTTTCATTTGCTCCTATTGGTCGCACCCTGATTTTATAGCCTAAAGCCTTCTTCAATAAATGGTCTATCCAACACAATAAAACATTCATTTGGGACCAGTAGTTATTATGATTATCGCGTTCAACAAAACGGACAAACTCTTTATACTATTCGTATACATTGAAAACAAGTAGTAGATTCAACAGATTTTTATAGTTTAAATAGTGGTAACTTAACGTTATCATCACTTATGTATTTTAATGCGGTAGTCTTTTAAGCCTCCTAACCCATTCTGGAGTAGCGTAGTAGATACAAGTTAAAAAAAAAAAAGTTAAATAATAGAAGTAAATTCCAAAAGTTGAGTTTATAATATTAACAATAATTAGACAATAATTAAATACGGTGAATATTATTTTGAACAATTATAAATTAAGTGAGTACTTTGTGCTAAAAATATTTTTCAATAATAAGAATGTCATTAGCAATTGAAAATTTCAACATTTTTCACATGATGAACAAAATTATATTTAAATTGAATAAAATTTATGTATTTTTTTTCAAACTAAATAGATTTATAATTCACTTTTCAAGATTTGAAGCGTCTACAACATTTTGCATAAATAAACGTTAATTTTTAACTTGTGCCCATGAATTTAAAGTTATAATATATCTATAGAAGTAGTCTATTAAAAACCCAGCTGGTATCAAGAACATTAGCATAGCAAATCTGTAATGGGATGTAATACTCGAACCAATGTCGATGGCGTCATAGCACTATTTGTACCCAACCTTGAGTTTGATGTATTTTCACCGCCTCCGTGCCTGGTTTGTCTAATACTAGGCTATGCGTATATCGTGTGATGTCTAGGATTCTAATCCCAGGATACAACAGTCTTATCAACTATGTTCCTCCCGAAATCTACGCGACGACAACTGTATTTATCTTTGCATTCTAAAAACTGACTCAACTATATCAAAATTATATTAAAAATATAATAATATTATTGAATTATTTAACTAAATCAAAATATTGATTACTACGTGATTACTACGCAACTAAAACATCGGTTTTAGTTGCTTATTTGGAGCCGTTTCCCTAAATTCTTCTTTAGAAATCATTTTTAACTACGACTCTGTTTTATATGCTTTGCAGCAGTTCTGGTTACTGGGGACCTGAAAACAGTTCCTTATAGCGAAAGTTTTATCAAAGTATTGTACTTTCTGGTTAGCGCGTACAAACGAACATACCTACAGACAGAAAATCTTATTAATAACGTATTTCTTAATTCTGTCCATATTTCAAGTGTACAAACATTTTTTAATTGTACAGATGCACAATTTCTTTTTTTCTGCTAATTTGCTCTGAGTTATGTTTGCTTACATCTCAGGTACTTCTTCAAGATGTTGAGCAATGTTAGTTTCTAATCGTGCATACGGCGAAATTATATTCACGCGACGCGTAATACGAGCGTTTGAAATTAATTTACACAAAAATTGTACTTCACTGGATTTTTAACTAACTGACCCGGAAAACGTTGCTTTTTCGCGTGTCGTGTATTATTGTTGATACAACTCTCACTAATAATGCATTAAATAATCTAAATCGATCAAATTTGACGGTTCTTCCAATTAATTCAATAAATCTTAAAATATACTATCGGGAACTATCCAACACATAAAAACTTTTTCGAACTAGTACTTCCCGAGCTTAGCGCGTTTAACATTTTAATATTTAATACGTAACTATTATTTTATTTATTTGGATTGAAGATATATTCAGAATACTGCGTCTCTTTTTTATTATTAAAATTTTTCTTTTTGGTAAATTGGACTCTATTGACATCAAATACTAAATCTCTCGAGCCACGAAAGTAAAGGTGGTTGCTTTCGTTTTACTTTCAATAAATGTTGTTGCTCTGTTGCTATAATCAATGTTTAAAAACGCCCAATATAATCGAGATATATTTCCTATACTTTATAATTCTGAGCTACAGCATAATTGAACCAAACTTTAGTATTTGAAAACTTTAAAATTTTCACATGTTGTGTTGTGTGTGTGTCACATTGCACATGATAGCACTATATAAAAAATTAAAAATATTGACTCGGGCAGGACTTGAACCGGCATCGTCAGCGTCCGTGCTGTTACTCTAGTCCTAATTGAGACTCGGTAGCTCAATTGGTTAGAGCAACAGCGCAAAAATTATAGTATTTTTTTATTTTTGTACAGAAGTTTAAGAACAACTACTGTTTTTCATTTGTTTCTGTATTTTGTTTCAGCTTCTCTAAAATGGAAGTGCAAATGTATTGTTCTAAAAGTATTCCTATTATTTTAATATCGGTTAACGCCTGCTGTTAATTATTGTTTCGTTCCAGTTCATAGAAACAATGCAACTCAAATACAACGATCAGGCGCGTGACGCAGGCGTTTATATTATCAGCGCGTGCGGTTTCGACAGTATTCCAACTGATTTAGGGGTGATTTTCCTCGAGCAAAACTTTGGAGGTTTGATTTTTTACTTTGTTTTGTTTTTTTACAGTAAATACAATGTTGATGACATACTACATAAGAGTTTATTAAAATTTAAGTTTTTATAGAAAAATAAAAATTTAAAAAATAACCTTTTGCAATACTACTGACACAATTAGCCTTAACAATTAATATATATTATCTAAAACTTACTGTTATAGAGATGCCACATTCGTCCATCTCTATATAATAGTTAATTCGGGCAATACTCACTTTATACTAATAATCATCTTATTATCCAGGGGACAGACTAAAAGGGGTACACTCGATGGTAGGTAAAATACATATGAAATACAGGCATATAAAATCTAAGCATATCTGGAAGTCTGCAGACGTTAACCGAAACGTGGTTAAACGTCACGGTTTTTTCATCAACTATCGGGGTCGTGACCCGGACGGAATTTCGATATTTTTACCATCCATTTAATGTCCAGATTTTTAGACGAAGGTTACCATGTTTCAGAAGTGTACAAGTGGGCATTGAACCCACCATTTTTAGCTATCCATTGTTACCATTACACCAACGAGCCCGACAAACGTCACGACACTTTCGGTTCAACGTGCCGAAATTCGGTGAAAGGCTCAACCGAAAACCCATTTCTAATAAATGGTTTTTATTTTTAGGCACTGTAAACTCTGTAGAGTCATATCTAGGATCAACGACTAATCAGGTTTCTTTAAGCAGTGGAGTTATAAACTACGGAACTTGGGAATCTCTCGTTTATGGGTAAGTATTTTACGAATTTGTGAGGTGGTACGATTTTCTTCTGAAATTGGTCAGTGAATTGTTCTAGCACACACACTAATTTGGATGCACTGGGAACGACACTAGGTTTATTTTCTTATATCGTTTAACGTCAGTATTTTTTAAGTATCTATCTGAATTTAATATTATTGCCAATAAGCGCGATGTTTATTTTTTATTATCACAGTAACAATATGACGCGATTTTCCTGTTAACAAGAAAATGAAACCATGGTTCAAGGTCTTAAATGTTATGAGCGATTTTTTAAAGATTCTATATATTGTAATCTGCATGACGTAAAATAAGAAAATTAAAAGTTTATAAAGGTTTGATACGCAAAATTTAATAGTTAACTCATTTACAATTAATTTCACCTACGGCCCCATATTTTTGATGCCTTGCAGCAGTCGTGGTAACGGGGGACAGTTAAAATAAAGTCAAAAGTTAACTAATGTTTTGCGCGTTGTAAACTGGGGAGCTTTGGGGAGTATTGTTTATATTTTTAGTAGATCATTTTAACAATAATCAATCTAAGAAATTCGTGTAGTCCAAGTGGTTATAATCTAAGACTTTATTTTCAGAATAACGCACCTAAACGAATTACCAGACCTCAGGAAGAAAATTTATCCTGAGAAGTTGCCAGAATTTAAACCAAAACTTAAAGCTAGGTGAGCTATGACGACTTTACATACATATATGTTATAATTATCTTATTAGAGTTTATCGCACTCTATTAGTAAAATCTTCTATACCAGCCCTGTCCGCGACTTTATTTTTGGCGTCAATATATATTTAGGAAACCTCTTCGTTTTTATAAATAATAGCTGTAACCTACGACGTCGTTCGCGTGCCGTCGTAATTAAAAGTTAATCTTAAAATATAGACCTTTATTGTCGCGGACACTTTTCAGATCATTTAAAAAAGAATCGTTACTTCATACATCATCTTAAACTTCGCAGCGCACGCAACAGAAACCCTCAAAGATAAGTAATTTTTCCCGTTTTTTTTTTCAAAATTTCCCTCTGTTCCTTCGGTCTTATTGTGCGCAGTGTGGTACAAACAGTACTTTTCAATTCGAACTAGTATTTCCTAAGATAAGCGCGTTCAAACAAACAAACTCTCCAGTTTTATGATATTAGTATAGATTTTTTAATCCCTTTTTCAGATCAGTGATTCACCAGCGTCTTGGTGGGTGGTGTCTGCCGTTCCCCGGTTCTGACGCGTCTATTGTCTATCGCACTCAGCGCACTCTATATGAGCAGGAGAACAAGAGACCCGTTCAAATCAAGACTTACGTCAAATTCCCAGGGTTCTTGAACGCACTGGCTGTCGCTTTCTCCGCAGTTTTGCTCTTCGTGCTGACCAGGTTAGTAACTCCAGGAGTATAGAAAGACTTATGTCATAGAAATCAGGAAAATAATCATTTAAATAAAACACTTGTTAACTTATTTATAGCCCGACGTTTCTGATGCTTTGCAGCAGCCGTGGTCACGGGGGACCACGTTAGAAGTAAACTAAAATATTTTACGTTTTAAACAGTTAAAAGAGGTTTAATAATTAATATGTGCTAAACTACAGATACTTAGTTTTAGTCATTGTGTATTGTATAAAAATGTTTTCTGTTCTCTAAAATTTTGCGGCAGAGGACTATCTGTATAATTTTCTAATTTATTTTTCTTTTTTTTGACCAGCAGGACAACAATAAAAAATATATTTTTCTAATTTAGACTAAATTGCCAAATCTCCGCTATCGAACGCGTTGCCCACTTATACATAGAACAATTTTTCTCTACTTGAACAGGAATACTTTAACCATATAAATCAGATATCATAATTAATATAATTTGTAAACTAAATAACGTTCATACGAGCCCTTGTGTGTTGAAACTAAGCCCAGATGAAATAAGTAAAGTATAACCTGTATTACAGATTCGATTTCACCCGAAACCTCCTCTTAAAGTACCCATCATTCTTCTCCTTTGGTGCGATCACGCGATCTGGGCCGAGTGAAGAGGTGATGAACGGCACTGTTTTCTCATTTCTTCTGCTTGGGGTGGGATGGCCTGAAGGAGCAGACCTCAATACTCCACCAACCAAGAAACTAACTGTGAAGGTAATTATAAGAATTCATCATCATCTGTTCTCTTAATAGCTCTTATACGCTCTGCCTTTAAAAGTGCATCTGTCATCTGTCAACCTATATTTGACATTGCTTATATTTTGTCAGTTTTTACGCGCCAAAGTATTTTTTTTCATCAAACAGCTTTCTCTGTGCAAGCCAGTTCGAAATTAAAATTAAACTTTTGATAAGTTACCTCTTTGGTCGCCATTTTGCAGAGTAGAAGATCGTTCCATTTTCAAATTACACGACTAATATGATTTTACACACTAAATTATTTGGCTGCTAAACACGACAGATATGGGTTTTCATGCAAACATTGCCTACCGCTGCTCGATCAGTTCAGCATGTTTGAAAAATATTTTTATTGCACTTTATTGATTACGAACCCAAGTAATCTCGACCTCATGAACGGAAGTCTAGAAATTGATCTAGTAGATCAAACCCGACTTCTGTACTAGACTCTTAATACTAAAAGTCTGTATCACATATTAGTCAAGTCAATTGTGTTCGGATGTTCTTTTATAATTTTGACACTCATCAAACCATAATTTTGAACCATTCTACCCAGGTATCCGGTGTGAACCCTGGCTACGGTGCCACTGTTGTAGCTGTCCTCTTCTCAGCTATCACTATTCTGAAGGAAAAGGAAAAGATGCCGCCACAGTCAGTATATTTAATATTACAATTTATTATTTTTAAGTTAGATGTGTTTAAGACGTTTATTTACGCAAGAAATAAATTTCATTTACGCGTAAACACAATAACATAAACATATGATATTCAAGTATAAATTGATAATTATAATTGGTTACAAATGCTACGCATATAATGCAAATATACTAACACTAATATAATATTAAATATGTACGTCTTAGAATTAACTCACTATTGAAATAAAACACTTTAACGGTTTTAAACGCGATATATTAGTAACTTCTTGCCCAAGATTTACTTCGGCCCGACGCGACGTTTCGGATGCTTTGCATCGGCCGAAGTTAAAAAACATTTTTCAAATAAGTTTAACTAATATATCGCGTTTTAAACCGCTAAATGTGTACTACTCGCGTAAACTATAGACAGTATTTAATTAACTCACTATGTAAAAATAGTAGAAATCACGTTAGATGTGAACTGTCAATGAATAACTTAACAGATACATATTTCAGACTTCGACATTATAACGATTTTTCAGGGGTGGAGTCCTGACCACCGGAGTGGCTTTCAGAAATACTGAAATCATCAAGAACTTACATGAAAACAACCTCAAATTCCAAGTGGTCGAAGAGGAAACGAAATAATGCATTAGTTGTACTATTAAAAATGTATTCTAGTTGTTATCTTTCTAATCTGTATTCCTGAAAGAAATAAAAAGAGTCCCGAATCTGCTAGTGGTATACCAGCGACCGGCCATCGAAACATAGGCAAGCTTGGGGTACACTTGATCGTAGTTGAAATACGTCAGCTATATAACATATAAACAAGATGCCCTGTTGACCTCTCTTGGCTTGGGATATTCGGTAATCCACAGACTGAAATCGAAACGCGATTAAACTGCACAGCTTTTTCATCTGTAGACGATGATTTGTGACGCGTAGATAATTTATACATACCCACCTGATAGACCCGGTGGGGAACGAACCGACGACCCGTGGATTATTAGTCATACATTCGTTCTATTACACCAATGAACGAGATAACACTAAATGTTTATGTGATATATAATTATTATATGTTATGCTAGCTCTGCAGATAATATTTTTGTTGGCTTTTTGTTTTATTATTTTTTATATCTATTGTAATGTATTTTCATTCACGATGGCGCAAGTATAAACTTTATTAACTAACGTAATGGTGCATTTATTTTAACTCAGTAATTACGTGCTGTAATTAAATTAAGTAGTAAGTAGTAATAACGCTTATTAAAGCACGACGGTGCTTACTAGGTATAAATCCTTAGTGTATAGAGTTTTTAATAAATATTTTTCTTATTAATCGCTGTTTTTAATTTTAGTAAGAAATTACATCCTTTCACTAATAAAACACTTTTTAAAGCTCAAAATGTGTAAGGAAATAGATGGCGCTAGCGTAGCAGGTTTGACTTTGACAGGGACAATCTCCATCTTCATTCCCCTTGCCACCATCCGCTTCACATTTTCGATACTTTAAAATCGGGCTGAGAGTCGTTTATTTATTTTTTCATATAAACATATGAAGTTATTGCTACAACTACGTATGAATTTTAAGGCGTAGCGTACACCATTGAGTTTACCCTTCCCAAGGCGTCGGATGGCCACGCGTCGTACCCTCTAACTAGAAAGAATTGTATTCCTTTATCGTACTACTAGTGCTATTTGTGGTAAAGGGAAACCATTCTTTAAAGAATAAATCTCGATAAAAAGATTGGCTTTTTTTTCAGTTTAAGTTATGCACTAATACAGTTGCAGTGATGGTTTTTGGGTTTGGTATCGATAAATTGGTAGTGACGTCCATAAATTTGTAGAATCGTGCTGCTGGTTCGTTCTATATCTACATTATGGTTTATAAGCGTAAAGTTGAATTGTTGTTGTAATATTAACTTTTGCCCTGGCACAGTGTACAGTGAGAGCACCATTTGAACGTAAAATACATAATTCGTGTAACGATAAAATTGCTTGGATATTTCGAGAAGGTGTGAAAGGTTCTATCCCACCTGTTTCAAATCATTCAATTTATAGACTTTGTCTGGAAATCTAGATATTAAATGGGTGGATGGAAGCAATATCGAAATTATGTCCGGGTCACGAACCAAGGTCCTCAGATGAAAAAGTCGTGAAGTTTGGTTTTTGGTATCAGTCAGTGGACTTCCGAATATCCAAAGTCAATAAAGGGCGACAGCGCATCTTGTGTAAATGTTCTATCATAAAAAGAACATTATTGTGCATACAAAATTAAAATATGACTTTTATGACTTACCTACTTATCTCTACAAAACAACGTCAAAAGCAAGATGTGTTGTAAACATTTTTACCGAATTTAAACTACGTAATTAACTGAGGGTTTTTCCATGCTATAATACTCTACTTAGTAGCTCAATAACATAAACTTGGATCTACATAATGAAGTACTTCACTTAAACACTTGGGTATTTTTTGCATTTCGCAACAATTGTACAAGATAATAGGGTAATTACAAGGTAGTTATTACTTTATGAGTGTTAAGTTTAGACCTCGTCAAGTTTTATTAGGTTCCGTAATTCTTAACAGCGACAGAAACGAAATATTTTATTTCCTCGATACATAATAATCAATGAATCATTATAAATCGTCACATGCATTTAAAATGACAAAGAACGCGATTTCATAAAAATGGTTAACTAAGAAATGAATGTCAAATAAGCGGTAAAGTTTGATTGCGTTTCTATTTCAGTCTGTGGATTTCGGAATATTCAAAACTAACCCTTATTAAATTGAACGCCACAGTTGGTGTCCTCTATTATTACGAAATTAGGTTCGTTACTTCGATTCAAATAAACATCGCAAGTTAACGTTCCGTAAACTTTATTATTTATTGGTTAAATTGTATCTTATATGGCCATGTGTACAATATCTTAGTTAGGGGTGCGATGGTACACAGGGAAGCGATAAGCTGAGTTCCTAGAATTCATATCGCCGCAATTACTCGCAAGTATTAAAAAAATATCTCAGTTAACAATTAAATTAAAACAAGTTAAAAATAAAGAAGTTAAAGCATACACGAAAAGAAAAACGCTTGAATTTCACGTTATATTAAGCGATAGCATTGATGTACATTTTTGCTGATTTTAGGTGTATTTATTTCTCATCTAAACGGAACCCTAAATTTATTAATAAAGAAGTTTTATAAACAGTATAAACCTACACAAGATAAACATTGACTCAGTGATAATCTTAGGTACTACCGCTGTAGTCTTTAGTTTGTTTAAGTCCTTTTATATAAAAATTCAAAGCAGGTACTGTTTCATTTGTAAAATATTTATTGTGCAGTGAGACTCAGGTGAAACATTATCTTGATACACACAGGTTTTTGTTAGTTTTTGTTATGACAGACATGAGACGATCATACAAGCTTGTGAGAGTCACTACTGACCTATTTAGATTTTGAATTATTAAATCAACTGATTAAATTCGAATGGATTGACGTTGTTTCCTTACTCAGACCACGTTAGATTTTCTAGCCCCATATGATATTCTCATCGTCTAGACTTAGTGAGAATCGAATCCACAGTATGTTGTTAGCTATAGATTGCTACCACTGCATTAATGAGCCCTTCAAAGTCATTGGTTGAGTGGACTACAGTGTAGTGCAGTGACCTTGTATATAGAAGTTCAATGCAATAATTATTAGTAAACGTTTTCTTACTGTCTGAAGTATCTACTAACCTAAGTATAAATATATTTTAAAATCATATTTGACGGTTAAAAACGCAAAAATTTGAAAGAATTATAACACAGATGGGTATCGAATCTATGACCACAGCTTTCCATGTTATGGAGCTACCGTGTCCCGGATCATCGACTTTCTTCAATCTTTTGCGATTTCGGGCGACATAGACATTTTAAAAATATTTTTTATTTATCTAAGCTAACATGTGATCTAAATAAGTCATACTTATTTAGATTAATTCAAGATGAAGAGGCAACGAATTGATCTTATAATCTTCGGTGCGAGCGGTTATACTGGGCGGTTTGTGGTATCAGAAATGCTTAGAATATGCCAAAAATACCCAAACATAAAGTGGGCTATCGCCGGAAGAAGCAAGGAAAAATTGGAAGCCACTCTACAGTATGCTAAAAACAATGGTAGGTATACATTTTAAGTTATTATTCTTCCCTTTTTTATGGTATACAAAATCCGTATATAATAAAAATCATTAACACCCCTATTACAAAACAAGAACCCTGGTTTATTTGGAATCCTTATTATAAAACGGAGTTTAACCTTTGTACTGGACTAAATATGGTACTAACTTAGATTTATTTAGACCATAGTTTAAAATTATTCGTATTTAATTTTTTTAAATTTACATTGTAGCGCGGCAATAAGAGATAAAATTAAGTTATTTTGAAACGTATTAAAAACTATCGATGACACTGGCAGGCCTCAATTCTACAGCATATGCCGTCGCCTTTTTAAATTTTAGAATGAAAGACTACCAAATAGGGACTGTAAACGGTTTAAAACACAAAATATATCATTCAATTAATCGTTACTACAAAGCATCCGAAATAATAGAATATTACTCAACAATAATTCGCATTTAAAACTTTAAAAGGATTTCTCACAATATATATGATTTCTATTGTTTGCTTGAAATACAGACAAGTTATCTAATAAAGGGACTATACTTGTATAAGATACTGTAACTAATTACTAGCAATAATTATTCTTAGGTGAAAATATAAGTGGAATAGAAATAATAACAGCAGACGCAGAGAACGATGAGTCTCTTAAAGCGATGTGTTCCCAGTGCAAAATCGTGATGAACTGCAGTGGGCCTTTTTTGAAATATGGAGACGCTCTTGTTAAAGCTGCAATAGATTGTAAGACGCACTACATTGACGTATGCAGCGAGGGAATGGTGAGTAAAGAGTTCTTTTCATAAAACATAGTGAAATCTTGTTTCTCCCCGCGGACACATTTCTGTCTGTTTCACTAATCAGTTCTTTTATAGGCATAGGCATAGTAGTTAATCAGACTTCTGTGTCCTGTTCGACAGGAAGCATCTATTGTTCCCTAGGATTTGAACTCAGGACCTCACGCCTATCGCAATGCTAGATGCACGGTGCTCAGATATCCTAAAACATCATTTCCCGTTTCCCCTAGGAAAGCATAGACGGACGCATTTTTGTAAATGTTTCACTGGTTGCCTGTAGCGGCTGGAACATAATCTAACTTCTGTGCCCTGACGATCGAATATGTTTCTCAGGATCTAAACAGAGGAACCAAATTATGTTGGAGGCTGATTATCAACTTAAACTTTGCGAAAAATCACCGTAGAAGATTTTGTTTTTTAATGTTAATTATTTTTTAATTTAACTAGCATATTGTATGTTATAATTATGAATCACTAGTAGTTCATTTTACTGAACACATTTGGAATTTTATAAAATACTTTTAACATTTTAAAAAGCAAAATGTATTAGTAAACTTATTTACAATTGATTTTTACTCCATCCCAGCGATTCACGGTAGGGCTTGAAGTAATATAAATTGTAAATAAGTTATAATACAACACATTTCGGGTTTTAAAACGTTAATAATATTAACTACATTCAATACTAAATTCTTTTCAGTTTTTAGACCAAGTTTTGGCAAAGTATGACGCAATGGCCCAAGAGGCTAATGTGTTTGTCATTAATGCTTGTGGAATGGGTTGTCTGCCTGCTGATCTTGGCGTTGTCTTCATGCAGCAGCAATTCCAAGGTCTTCATTGATATTAAGGATATTTTTTTTTTTAATGTTACGTAGTTTAATAGTAGCAATGTGTGGCTGATAATCGTGGGTTCGACTCACACCGGGTCCAACGTGATTTTATTTTTTAATTTATAATTTTTCAAAAATATGTTGGACTTCGTCTGCACATCCCGTCTACGTCTCGAACCACCGTCCACAGATTAAGATGCCGTGAATTTTCGTGCGTTTCGATTTCAGTCTGTGGATTTCCGAATATCCAAAGCCAAAATAGGTTGACCACACATCTTACTTAGATGTTATATGGATTTGGTATTTAACCTCCCATCAAGTGAACCCCCACTCTTCTCTATTATTTTTCTTTTGTTTTCGTGATTCGAAACCATGACGTCATCAGTTAATCTTAATAGTTGGCATACTGACTATATTAAGACACAAAATCATCAATATTGATCAAGCCGTTTTTCTAATTTTCAGGAACATTAAATTCAGTTGAAGCTTACTTAACTACTAAACTGAAAATGGTGAACAGTTGGCCGAAAAATATTATGAGGGACAGTACTTGGGAAGCCACAATTCAGGAGTTAGAATTTTACTAATTTATATATATACATCATATTTGTATTTACATTTTAGTCGATAAACATTTTATTTTGACTTCCAGAACCGCTAAAAAACCAATATGGAAGCGTGAAGATAATTTTAGTTACACGATAGATAATAAATATAGACTAAAACCAAGGTACGTAAAATAACTTTTGCTTATGCGTATTGTCTGTAGTTTATGCAAGTAGTACACATTGAAATAAAACACTTTTAACGGTTTTAAATGCGAAATATGTTAACTTTACAATTTAACTACATTCCGACTTCACATGCTTTACAGCAACCGTATAGTACCGTGTTTAATATAAAACGCGTTTTAAACCATTAAAAGTGTTTTACATAAATTTTCAACGTATGTATAGTAAATACGTTGAAAATTTGAAGCTTGTTGAAAGTATAATGTGTAAATTGTGTAAGGCTTTCACGACCATCGTTCAGCATATATCAGCACGAACGGAGGGCATCATCAGGAGATGTTAACTCCTCGATTGCTTCCAAAATTAATCATAATCGAGAACCCCTTCTCGCTCACGCCGGTCGTAAAGCCCTAAAAACAATGATATAGTGTAATGTGTATTTTATTTAAGGCGATGTATTCACAAGAAGTTTGACCGCTGGTGTGTGCCATTCCCCGGGACAGAAGAAACAGTTGTCAAACGGACACAAAGTTATTTTCAAACACAGCGGCCGGTACAATTCAAACGTTATCATTCCCTACCGTCCTTGTTAGCGTCACTTGCTACTATCATTGGTGGATACTTACTTCTCATACTGCTAAAAGTATTTTCCTTATCCGATTTATTTATTAAGTACCCGAGACTTTTTTCTCTGGGCTTTGTAACTTACGGAGATCCGGATGAAAAGGTTATGGAGACGCTCGTGTTCGATTACCAGATGGTTGGGCTTGGATGGAAGGGAGAAGTTCAAGGTCCTCCCAGGGATGAAATCATAGCCAGAATTTATGTGAGTGGCAGACTAAACCCAGTTCATCCTTTAGTTTTATACTACGTTTCTACATTTTTTTTATTTATGCCTCACTCTAAACTCAAACAGCAGTCCTCGCCAAATAGCAGTGTGAGTTGTGCGATATACACTGCAATATTTTAGTGCCCAGCTGCGAATCGAACTAACGACCTATGTTAAAAGTGGGTCATACGTATTGCCACAGCTAATAATCCGTGTAATATTTATATTTAGTAAACAGATATTCGTATACCTTTATATAGTATTTTTTTTAAATTATATTGTTGAGAAATTTGGAACTTTTTCTTTCCAGCCGGTAGGTAAGAAAAATGCTCCATACGAAGGAACCGCTGTAGCTGTCATATATTCTGCCCTAACTCTACTTACTGAGAGAGACAAAATGCCTGCCAAGTGAGTTATTATAGTACATATGAGGCCGCTAAAGCCAGAGAAGTCTAACTGCAATTTTATGACTTCACTTATTTATATTTTTTAGTCTAAAAATGTTAATTTACAAGAGCGCAGTGACCGAAAATTATTAACATAATGTTTACACAAATATAAGTACAAATTCATTTTCGCCTAAGTTAATTGCGCATTTAGATTTTTCTCCTTATTAAAAATCATTTTTTTGTTACTAGACCATTCTGGCACTAGCAGCCTCATAATATGTACTCATATTAAAAAATATAGTGCTAAGAAAAAGAAATGACGCGTCCGTTGACAATTATACTGTCGATAATTTTCTTTTAGCTATTACGTATAATATATTTACCAACTCTTCTGTTTAGAGTGACGTTTTACTAAAAAGAAAACAGAAAGCCTTGATTTTCTAATATCGGGCACGAGCAGTTCGAGGGTATTTCACTAGTTGATTAAGAGACAAATAGTTGATCAGAACTTTATTTCTTCCTTGACCGTAACTATTTAATGTGTTGGGATATCGAAGCTAGGACATGACGTGCATTACGTCTGTGCAAAGTTGTTAATTATTGAACCACGGAGGCGTTAAAAATAGTGTTAATAAGGCACATTACTTTTTCCAGATGCGGAGTTATGACGCCCGGCGCCGCATTCAAATCAACAACTTTAATTGAAAAATTGACAAATGACAATTTGAAATTTGAAATAATACGAAAATAGATTTCTGTTCAGATGTCTTTATTTGTATAAGGCTTTCGAGGCCATCATTCTCTACATCAGAACCTCTCGCTCACGTCGGCCGAACAAAACAATGATATGCTAACAATCTTGTTCTTACGTGTTCCCTATTGCAATAAAAATCCAGTTGAAAATAGACCAATTAATTTATTGATAAATCTGAAATACTTAACCATACAAAAATTTACACACAATCAAATCTACATACCAATCTTTATATATACAGCTATACATTATCTAGGCGAACATAACTATGTTGCTTAATAAATAAAAGTTATCTTCAGCTTTGGTAAAAAATATTCTAGGGTAAACGGCAAAGCACTAAAAAAACATATAAAATTGAGTCCAATGTTTTACAAGATAGCACTACGATCAAAATTTAAGTTAAAAATGAATAATTAATTTATTAATCCTTGAAAGTGTTTTGGTAGAGATAGACATAATTCAGAATAAGCTATACAGTACTGAGTTCGTTTATTATACACAGAAAGTTTTGCATCGCCTACCTTTGACGTTGAGACGAAAATTAATTTGGTACTATTTTAGTAATTTCAAAAGCTGGCTGTTTCGTACCAGCAATCTTATAATAACGTTATAAAAATAATCTCATTTCGCATTAAAACAAAGCACCTACAATATTATTAAAATAAAAAACTTCCATACATTAGGGAAGAATGCTAGCGTGACTTGGAAATTGAAGTTTTAATTAGATTAAGTGATTAACCAAAAATGTTTATATAAATTAAAATAAGTTATTCCTGCAAATTGTAATCATTCTTACATTATCACTAACATTGTATTTCTTCATTATTTTACACTACGAAAGCTTAATCTATTTGAGCTTATATTTTGACAGGGAATTTATTACGTAGACTAGCCACTTTTTGTCTTCAAACACTTGGGAATTAACATTTGAATATTTTTTGTTAAAAACATTATTCGCACACCATTTGCCAAAATTTTACATTTAATTTGAAATCCATCGTGTAACTTCGTTCATATTTTTGTGGCTTTGAAATTTCATTTAAATTATTTTAAATTTGGAAATTGATCAATGTATAATTTTGGCACACAGTATTAGAACTTTCCATACGCGTATAACTCCCTTGTAAAAGTCAATTCATGATCACTTCCTAGCTCGACTCCCGGCTATTCTCATTGGATCCAATGGCGTGTGAGGTGGAAGGCGTAACTTCAGGAGCCACTATGAGGCCTTCTTTGATCCTTTTCTTTTGTTTCATCCGTCGGTTCTGAAACCAGATTTTGACTTGTGTCTCATTCAGCTGTAGGGCGGAGGCTATTTCTATCCTTCTCGCTCTCGTAAGGTATTTGTTGAAATGGAATTCTTTTTCGAGCTCCGTTAGTTGTTTGTTGGTGAAGTTGGTTCGGCCTGTATTATTCAGGTTAAGGATGGGGTTTGCAAGCATCTGGCTACCGGTGGGTGTTCGGATGCCATCCTGTGGACTTCCAAGGACACCTTGATTAACGAAGTCCGCTGGAGGTATCATCAGCTTGGGTACTGGAAAGAAAGAAATATATTTATATTATTTGGAATGCTTATATTCTTACATTTGTTTAAATATTCTTGGCCAAGTCATAAAAGCTTTAATGCGAAGTGTTTTAATTATGTCTATGCATTAACGATCACAATATTGTGATCCAGGGTCCAGTTCGCAAGTCAATGAACCGCGCGACTTTTTGTTTCGCGTTTGCAACTATTTATACAAAAGCAACGACTTCGTGGGATCTCGCTTATGACAGGTGTCAATTTTTTCTAATTCAAATGTACGCGGAGATAAAAGATATTTCAATGCAGGTTCTTAGTGGACCCCTGCGGCGGGGTAACCTGCAGGCCGAAATGTGAAGTTTTGACGTTTATTATTGTAGGAAAGTAAACATTAAACAAGGCTGTAGTGTCGGACACGTCAGGTTAATGTCGCTTTTAGAATTTGTTTAGGCGGTTTGTTGTACTCTCGTAGTAAAATTGACAAAACGTGAAGAGTTTCGTTTATTCTTTTTCATAAATCGATGCCGTACTTTTTCCATATCAAATAGTATTCTTCATGACAGCCAGTTTAAGTGTTACAATTATTACATTTTGTATCTGAAACCATAGTAAATATAACTTCAATTTACTTCAGTTAACAAAAGAAAGCTTTATAAGCATAAATGTAGAAATTTTGACTGTTTGGCGGGCTTAGTGTTAATAATTTATATTTTTTTAAACATGTCAGACTTCGTCTGGAAATATGGATATAAAATGGTTGGTAGGAATTACGAACGCGCCACGAACCACCGTCCGCAGTTGAAAAAGTCGTAAAGTTTAATAAAAAGCATTTCAGTTTTAGTCTTTAGACCCAAAGGCAAAATAAGTCGCCAGGGCATCTTGTTTAGATGTTATATACCTTGGGTTACCTACCGTCACGTCGAGCAATAAATTTATTGAATGCCGCATAGATTCGCCCATTGATTATTAAATGCTGACTCATACTCGTAAACGGACAGCGGGGCTTTAATAAGTCGCAAATTGGCATCAACCCTATCGGGATGTCCGAGCTAATCCGCTGTTCTTGTAATTGACACGTATCCTTAGTCACTCGCCTGTCCAGACCATGTGTCTTGGTGTGCCAGATATATTAGCTTTTTAATTAAACAACTTCATAACGTCAAGCGATAGTAAAGATGCCCGTGTAATTATTATACATCTTATTAGACCTTACCACAATGGATGAGCAAACACGTTTTAATCCAGTCTTAGCTGCTTACGCGAGTAGTATACATTAAATAAAATAATTTTAAACAGGTTGAAACGTTAACCTTACTTAGAATTTATTTTCAATTAAATGAAAATCGTTTGTAATAAAATGCTTTAATTTTAAACTGTCTGTAGTTTACGCGTAGGTGATACCTACACATTTAAATAAAAAACTTTCCATGGTAAAAATAATATTCCAACACACAAGTTAAAATAATTTTCAAAAATTTAAGTTAAAATATTAAAGCAGTTTAACTAAATCCGTTAAAGTGTTTTATTTAAATGCTTTAATGTTTAAATATAGCTCAAACACTTTATAGATATCAATAACGCCCTAATCTTATAAACAACTGTTTAGAATTGAAAAATTATGTGTTTGTTGGGCCATTTATTGAAAAGGCTTTGGAGTATAAAACATCTCGCTGCGACCAATAGGAATGAAGAAAAAGTCGAAAATGTGGAGAAAACGGGGAAAATTGTTCATCTTTAAGGACTTCCCTTGCGAATGCTGCTATTACGATTCAAGAAACCAAAAACTATATATGAAAGAATTATTTCTCTTTAAACGATCTACGAAAATGTCCGCGACACTGTGTCTACATTTTAAGATTAATTCGCAACAACGATGCGACGGGACGCAGACGACGTTGTGGGCAACTTAACTTAAACTTTTATTTAAAAATTTAACTGAGGAGGTTATTATAGAATAACTTCTGAAGCCATAATGAGTAACTTTTCATTTCATTTCATCTTCTCTCAAAATTATAGTATTTTTCACCTAGCAAATATAGCTATCGAATTTGTTTCTTTACCTCTATTTGCGGCTGTGAGATGCTCACATGATGATGAAGAGCAATTTTTACTAAGTTGTTTTATTCACTTAAACATATGAAAAGCGCTTATGCTAAAACAGGATCAAAAGATATAATATTTGGTAAGCTGAGACGGCCCCGCGAAACCCGTTAACAGATCAAATAATGCCGGCTGTTTGTCTGTCTGTTTGCGCAACGCCCGAAACACTCGGACAAAGGGTACGGACGCGGACCTGTATTGGCTTTTGTTTTGCCTTTGTCAGAGATGCGTAGAGTGCAATGCTGCATTATTATTTAAAAGAAAACTATTTTAATAACATACTTTTTAACGGTTTAAAAGGCAAAATATATTAGAATATAAATACGTTTATTCAGAAAACAACACAAATTTACAATAATAAACCAATTTTACAAACATACTATAGAATTATGAATACGTTGATGTACGACTAAATACAGCTAAAATTAAATAGTACAGTTACCTCTGAAATGGGACTCACTCAGCTAGTACGTTGGGACTAATGTCCCAAGACTGATATTCTGTGGCCCCTTCAGAGGCCGAGCTAACACGAGCGATACAATTTGACATTACTTCTTATTTATACACACTTAACACAATAACGTTTTTTAAATACATGACACATTACTTAACTTATTTTTAATTTATTTTATTTACGCCCCGACATTGTCAAAGCTGCTATGCTAGCAGGGACGCCCTCCATTTTCAGTCCGACCGTGACCACGGCAAATAAATTAAAAAGTTGACTTATACATTCCGCGCTTAATCCGGTAAAAGCCTTTTATTTCAATGTATAACTCGCGTAAACTACAGATAATATGTTATGTATGCTATTATTGGCATGCTTAGTTATGGACAAGAAGTTTTGGATGAATTTAGGTTTTACTTTTAGCACTACACATTGCCTACATTCATAATTGTGTAAAGGTCCAGAATTTGAGGCAGGTAACCTAAACCCAAACAAAGTCTTCGCCGTGATCTTTCTATAGCGAATCTCTGAAACCGAGAAGACTATTATAAGAGGTAAGTTAGTGTTGTCTACAGAGTAGGTATAAATAAATGTGCCTACATGCTGCGCTTGCCGTCGGTTGCGTATAAGCTGACGAAGTGGTAATATTTGATCATGTAACAGGAGAAGGCCGGAGCTACAGCACTAATCCATTACGGGCCCAAATGTTTACGCAGCCAAGTTGCGTGTGATTCTGTGCGCAAACACTGCCCGAGTCAATATTGCGTGATTCTGATCAAGGTGAATCAAATATTAGATATTTTGGTAACGTTATATACTTATATTTTTCTTTTCTCTCTTCAGAAGAGGGTGGTTATCTTTCCTTTTAAAAATAGGGTAGTTATCCACAAAACAGGCCGTCTTAATGTATGATAAAAGTCATTGTATAAAAGCTTGTAATTTGAACATAAATATATATTTATTTTTTTTGCCCTATTAAATCCAGAGTTTATATTATACAGGTTCAGGGTTCGAATCTAAATATAGCTAGGTATCTCGTTTGGACTGCCGAATCGTAGTCTTTACGAACATACAGGTGATAGGTACAGCCGTACAGGTATGTGTCCATAAATAAAAATAGATCAGACGCGAAAAAAAGAAGAAACGCGATTCGTATTCATTATACAATACTATTTTACTTTGTAAACATTTATATAATTAATATTTTAATAGGTGATTTCAAGTTATCCATTCCCTTTGCTAGATAAGCCTCAGTTCACGATGAGTGCAACATATATACACCCATTACACATAATATATTTAGCTCCACGATATCTTAAGTTAAGCGGTTTGATGTCTATCAATAAAACAAGCTACTTCCCTTAGAAAAGCTTTAGTGTTTAGCACATCCGTGCATGATAAAAGGAGCAATATTAAACTATAAAACACGACTTTATCCGTTTATATTGTCAATATCAATTACCATAAAAAATAAATATAAGATTTCCAGCGAATATTATCATACCACAATGTTGTTATCATAGAATTTTCATACATACGCCATCAACATTTATACTCGATGTAAAAGCTTTTAATATCGCGTATAAAACCCCTTTATTTACCATGCGGGTGGTAAACGCTACAGAGTACAGAAATATACATTTATGAATTGAGTATAATTCAATTAATCCAATTGTTCAGGCCATGTAGAGCCACGTCAACGCCCTGAAGAGAAAAAAAATAAAAATTTGACAGCTAACTGACAGCTAGGGGAGCGGGAACGGATGCGATTGGTCGACAATTGGACAATACGGCAGATGCGTTCGTTTTACAACCGCCATGTTTGCTCAAATTCTTTACGATGGGTGGTAAAAAAATATGGGGCAGCTGATATTATAGTTGTAATTTGCATTAGATGTCTTTGTAGATATGTACTGACAGTTCGGGTCTGGCTGTTTCTAGTGGATTGAGCATTTTTAAACGGCAACGACTGTAAAAAGTAAAATAGAGTATAGTTACGCTAATACTGACGAAACGCTCTAAAGAAGCTCTTACAAACAGTCGCGACAATGAAATTAAATATTTCATTTATTATTAGAATATATACTACTCTAATAAAACTTGTGTAAAATTGCTTCTATAACATATTTATTTACAACAAAAATTTAAGAATCGTGATATCAAACTAATAAAAGCAAGAAGCTACTTAAGACCTTAAGAAACTCCAATATTTTACCATTTTATATAGTTTTTATTGTAATTGGTTAAACATACAAACTGTCTCTCATATAAATTATATCCTATTGTTTCGTCATTACCTACCTGCTCATTCAATGTCACACAAAAAACTTAAATATGATTATCGAAGTATTTGGCATAAAATGACGAATTGTATGATATATGTGCATTTCCATTCCTATATATGTATTTGTTATTAGTTACTTTATGTTACGCCAACTAAGTTCCAACATAGCCCTACATACAA